ATAATCTTGTTTCGAACTTCTTCAAGTCTCTTCAGTATCTCCCCTGGAGTTCGATCCAACTCGTCTGCAATTTTTCTCTGCAAATCTAAAGGTAGGGTAGGAAACTGCTCACACAAATCCCCATCAATCACGTCCTGCAAAATCATTCTAAATTTTCAAAACCAGAAGTACTACGAAAAATAAAATAGGGCTATAACCCTCAAGTTCAGTCAATTTAGCATCGGTGGTAATTATTTGCACCAAAAAAATTCAACTTTCTCAACATAGTTTTCCAAACAAATTGGTTTTTCCTTCTGATAAAATGAGAATGAGAATGACAATACACTAATGAAACCAAATGATGATAATGACAATTTTGATAATATAATGATGATAATGTGGATGGATACAAACATAGTTCTCAATCTTCCAAACTAAAGTAGAATGCAAGAGGCTTTGAAAAAGATTCTAATTCATGATAGCACCTGGAATTCATCTTGAAAATCTTTCAAATAAATAATTAACTACACCGTGGAGCCATCTCTGAGAACATGACTTCATAATAAACAGTTCATTTCAGTGTACATAACTTCATAAATAAACAATTCATTTCAGTGTACAAGAGGTTCACCTTGACAGGGAAATAAGCAGATCTATAAGCCATATGATCTCGTCCACACAAGGGAGGGTGTTCCTGTCTCATATGCATCTCTAGGTGAGAAAAGAAGTCAACATCATCACGGGAAGTGAATGGAAGCAATGCCCCCAAACTCCCCATTACTGTTCCATAAAGAACACACTCTCCACCACCTGGTATCAGAGATGCCTTCTGCAAGCAAGTAACCACATCTCCAATATGGAACTGAACTATCTCCTCTAACTTGTTAGGAGCTCCATTTAGCCTCCCTTGTTCCCATTTTATCCTTCCACCAGTTGCGTCTTCTTCTATCTCCTCTGATACATCTTGTGGTAGCCGCACAAAATAGACATTCCCAAACTTGTCTGCACCAGCCATGGTGTCAAAATCTACATGGTATGATGCAGTAAGCCATCTTGGAACAACATCATCAGCAAATATATACAGTTGATTTTCATCCCTCCTATACTTGCAAAAATGGAATGACTGCAATAAAAGACCATATTTATTATCGATCTGAGAATCATCAACAAAGAAAGCAAAAGAGAGGAATGCATAAAATCAAAGAGGACTACAGTTTAAGAACAGAGGAAGCATTAAAACTCAACCCTGCAAACCTTTCTTGCTTTCAGCCATAGCCTAAAGGAAATGGTCCACCAATTTTACAAAACCCTTATACAAATCAAGCATCATAAGACAAGACATGCATACAAGTATTAAAATTAAAATTTTCGAAGAAAAGAGCTAAAGACGTAAGAATAAGGAAAATTTCAGAAATCATACCTCTTGAATGTCCCCAACATATATTCGATCACGATAAGTGTGGATAGAGACAATAGTGTTAGGGAAAAGCTTATTCTCACATTTCCTAAGCAGTCTCTTTTTCCCCAAGTCATATAATCGGAGCACAGATCCTATCCCAGCAAGTAATCTTCCCTGAAACTGGCATAAAGCAAGAGGAACACCTTCCACTTGTGTCTTGTGCAGAAGTTCAAGCGACCTGCCATCTTCAAGAAACCTATAAATATGAATGAATCCTGCAACTAAGCTTCTTTTGGGCCAAAACTGCAGACCCTTGGCTGTGCCAACAGCCAAGAGAGTTCCATATTCTTTATCATGGAAATTCACGGTGCACAAACTGAAAGCAGCTTCATTGTCCTGAAGCTCCAAAAGACAAGTCGTGGCTGCTGTCCTTGGATCAAGAACTCTAATGCAAGAAACCCACTTGTTTGACTCTGCCTTTGGATAACCATACTGCTCATCGGAGAGGGGATCCTCTTTGTCCTCATCATCACCACCATTTTCCATTTGGTCCAAATTACCATTACCATTTTCTCCCATTCCAGCAGCCTCAAAGCATTCCTTTCTTGCAGCTTCACGCTCTTCTGCAGTATATGATCCTTGGTCACTCTCAATAATTACTAACAATTTCCTCTTTGGTTGAAAAACAAACCTCCTAGGCGTATACCTCAAAGGAATAGCAGTCTCATTAAAGGTTTCTCCAAGACGCTCAATGGTGAAAACCCTCAATGCATCCCCGGCAACAGCAACAACACCTTCGGCACATTGATCAGATGAAAACGAGGCAGCAAATTCAAGTGTCTCATAAGAAAGCGGTGTTAGAAGAAAATGTCCTTGGTGAATATAACCAAGCCATGGTCGACTAGACAAGCAAAGCATTGCAGGTCGGCCTCTCACTTTAACAGAGAACAACTTTGGGGCTCTCAGCCCTAAGAACCGTGAACGGGAATCAGAAAGCTGCCCTGTAACCATATCCACTACTGTTCGGAACAGAACCCCATTTTGCAGACCAGCATTAAGGAAAAGACTTGCAGGATGATCAGCACCATCCTCCCCACCAACTGATGCCTTAACTTCAAGGAAAAGGAGAGACTCGGGAGGTGAAGAGACACTCTGAACACTCAGAATCTGCATACAATCATCAGGATCCAAAGACAATATACGGATTGTATTATCATATGAACCAACTGCAAGAAAATGGGACCTCTGTCTTCCTTCAGGAACAGGGGCAATGTCCAGACACGCCACATCTCCTGACATTTCATGCTTCTCCACTTCCATCAATTGCCCAGTCATATCCACCTCAAAGTATATAAGCTCCCCTCCACTCAATGCAATAACCACTTGAAGCCCATTTGAGCCAACCTTAACAATTGTCCTTTTCCCAGGAGTCCTCCACTCATTAATACGTCCATCTTCCCTTATATGCCTAATACCATTTGGGTGAACTTGCATAAGCGAATCATCACCAATCAAGGAAACAGCAAGAGAAGGAGTAGTATCAAGAAACCCACTATCACTAACTTCTTCAACTGTTTCACCAATGGAAAGAACAAGAGTCGCATTTGCAAATGACACAACAATGTATGCATCAAAGGCATCATTAACATTCTTTTTCACTGTCCACACAGCACTTGGGACACCAGGAAGCTGGGAGACAGCCATCTCACTGATGGCCAAACCAGGCCTTAATATCCTCAAAGATGAACGAGGACCACGTCCACAGAGTGAAAATATCTGAGGTGTTTCTTCCTCAAAGAGATTAGCAATTTTGATGTCCATTATTGGCATCAGGCTCTCAGCTTGGTCAATTCTAACTAGATTCTTAAGCCCTCTAGGCTGGAAAAACACTGGCTGGAAACCTTCTTCTGTTTCCATCAATGTAGATGACGAAGACTCAACATCAGGGTCATCCCCAATAGCCTGAAACTGATACAAAGCGTGATTTCCAAACTCTGAGGCAGAGAATAGAAAACCAGTTTTCAACACACACATTGAAGCTGTAACTGGAATTGTATCAAAATACTTAATCCTCAATTCCGTAACTCCATCACTTCCATGTTCCAGTGTAACCTTAAAAATATCCCCATATTCTGTCTGCAAAAGAAAGAAGAACATTGACTTCTGCTTATGTGTAGCTGCTGAAACAATCAAAACCCCACGTTCTTCCGGCAAGTCAGCACGTCTAGGAATGACCGCTCTAATGTCTGGATGACCCTGATTCTTATAAATAACAAAATTCTCTGCACAAACCAAAACCCCACTCGGGCCATCACCACCACCAGGCACAGGGACCAACATATTTGCCCCATTATCAACCTGTTCTGACCACTTCCTAGACACATGGTTAAGCCCTAAATCAAGTTCATAAAACGTCAAATGCTTCTGTGCCTCACCAGCAGCAACTCCCGTGGAATCCTGATCGGCCTCAGAGTAATCCAACTCAATGGCAGCGAAAATAGGATTATCAAAACCACAATCAACACCACAAATCGAGTAAACTATCGTATGCGACTTATGAGCTTCTAAAGGCGAAGAAATGGTTAACCTAGCAGCAGTATCTCTATTCAAAACATAAACTAATTTCTGTTTCTCACAAGCACCAATCATTACGGCTCTTCCTTTCGGGTCAATAGCTAAGTATTGACCCGGGACAATCCGGCGACACCCGGATTTCCCAAAAGTTTCTTGGTGAACTTTATCAAAGATGTTCTTTTCTTTATTGTATTCAAGGATAACAATCCGACCCGAATCGGACCCTACTACAATGTAGTCCTTTTGAGCTCCGGTTAGCCGGAATTGAGCTAGGGAAAGTATGCAGCCAAAGATTTCAACGGAGTGAAGTGTTTGGAGCTTACCGAGATCGTCGGGGCGGAGAAGGGAAAGGATCTTACCACGGGCAACCACGATTTCTTGGATTTTTCCGCCGGAGAAGTTCCCGTTTATGGCGCAGACGATGCCGGTAGCTTGTTGAAGAGTTAAGTTGTAGAGATACATGGCTCGTTAGGGTTAGAGTTAGGGTTTTCAGGGTTTTGGGGTTTTCGTTTAAAAGAGATTCATTTGACACTTTGAGCGACTGAATTGAGAAATGCGAACAGTGGGATTTTTTTTTTTTTAATTGAAGGAGCAAAGTTCAAAAAATAAAATAAAATAAACCCTAGGAGGCAAAATTGAAGGGGCCAAATGAAACTTGATTTTTTAATTGTTCGATTATAAATTCAGCAAAAATATTAGGATGTTCGTGAAAAATTATAATTCTTATAATAGTAATGTTAAGTTTTCGATTTATATAACTAAAATTTTTTTTATGCATTTTCATTTATAATTTTTAAAATTTGTGATTTATGTGAAATTAAAAATTTTCACTACAAACGTATAAAAAACGAACTCAAAAAAATTATTCTTAAATAGCTCAAGTCCTATAATGGAACTGGAAAATCCTTGGGCTACTACCAAACACCATATTAGCCACTCCAACTAAACCAAAACTAAAGTAATTCCAACTTCACCTAGTAGTTATAATTATAAATATCACAAATTTTTAGTTACTTGGTGCAAAAGAGAAACATCTATCATCCAAAAAATGGCCATGGTTTCCTCATGGCTTTCCATAATTTTGTTGCTTTTCTTGTTCATGACCGTCATCGACAAATCAACTTCAGTTAGAAATCTTGGCAACCCAACTTCAAGTCATCATCATCACCACAAGCATCACAAAATCTCGTTCCTTATGCAAGATTTGCTCAATGTTACTCAACCTGCAACCACTAAAGTCACTGGTCAGCTTCCATTTTCCAAGCCACTAGGCTTTTTTCCTCCTAATGGAGGCATCCCAATTCCTGAATCTGATCCAAAAGTTGCAGGGTCTGGATTGTCAACTCAAACGTTTGATGTTTCCAACATTGGGTTATATTTTCCTGCTAGAGCTACTCTTCAGGAACTGGAATTTGGGGCAGTGATGACAATTGATGAGAACTTGTTTGATGGTTCAATTAATGGATCACCACTTGGAAAAGCACAAGGTCTATATGTTGCAAGTTCAGAAGATGGAACTAGTCATATGATGGCTATGACTACTTTTTTCGCAGAGAGTAAATTTAAGGATGGCTTAAGGTTTTTTGGTTTGCATAGGAGAGATGTAGCAGAGTCTCATATTGCTGTAATTGGTGGCATTGGGAAATATGTTGGTGCAAATGGTTATGCAACAGTTAAGGCTGTAGAATTAAGGTCTAATGCTGCTGCTGCAGAGAAACAAGGAGTCAACAAGCTTCTTTTGTTCAATGTTTATCTCAGTTAATAGCTAAGAATCCTTTTTAGCCTGATCAACTACATTTTATAAGAACAAGTAGCCCAGTTAACTCATGTAGCCAGCTTTAAAAGTTGTCATCCAGCAGATCTAGGGTTCAAATTCCTCACCTGCAATCCCTTCCCCTATCCCAGACTACGACCTCCTTTGTACAAAAAGAAAAAACTACATATTATAAGGTTATTGTTTGCAACAAATTGAACTTATGTTTAGTGTGCAAAATGTAAGATCAAACATTTTTAGTTCAAACAAAATTTGAGTATATTTCTTTGTACAATGAAATCAAGAACTTTTAGGCAAGTTTTTTTACTTTATTTTGCTTTCATTTATGAAAGAACTTTCTCAATCAACTCACTGACTTTGATATAACAGACTAATTCACCATGCAGCTCAAGATTTTATCAAGTGAATCTAGTAGCATGATGTTTGTTAATATCAGATGATAAAACTATTATCGGGGTTAAAGAATTCTCACGTACTGAAATGAAACTCATCTTAACTTGGTCTTATGTGGAACAGTTTATGCAGAGTCAAGGAGAAATTCGTTTATCCTAAACCCTCAACCATAAACAAGTAAAGCTTACTAGGTTGGCTTTACTTGCAGGGAAGCTGCAGATTGCTTTTACCAACTGAGAAACTTTTTTTTACTTTCACATCTTTTTTAGAAGCTGTCAAATCAGCATCTGCATTTTTCAAGCAAATTTGAGATCCAGTTCCTCAATCATGAAATTTTTATGCAAACATTTGCAGTTTGAAAGAAATGAAAACATATTGGAGATTGTTGGTTTTTGTATTTTTTAGGCACTAAAAATAGAATCCAAGAACTGCAACATGCTCTTTCTGTCTCAAACTTCTTTTGTAATGAATTTGTAGCAGCAATGTTATTGAATCTGGATGGCATGAATTTGGGAGATGGCTACCATGGTAAGAAGATAAGACACTCCAAACCTGTGATATTGTATGTTACATTTTAATCATGAACAAAAGGATTCTGGAATTTTGATAGGCAATTTTGGCCCTATTTCTCCATCTTATTAGGCACTAAATAACCTGGAAATTTGCATTAATTCCTTAAAGTCTTTCATTTCATAGATCCTACAAAAATATGTAGAAAAGAGCTCATCATTCATTACTTCAACTATATGAAAAACAAATGAATAAGGGAATTTAAAGGAGAAAAAACCAAGGTCTGATGATTTGAGACTTGGAATTCATTGAAAAGCAGAACAACATAATTCAGGTGTTACTGTGAGAAGTCCTGCTTGTTTTGTTTTAACTTAGACAGTGACTTCACTTTATGTGGCTCCTTGAGACTTCAATTGAGGCTAAACATTTATCAATGAGATTAAAGGCTGTTCTTTTAACCATAAGTTTCCCAAGAATCTCAGGTCCAATTTCAACAACCTGAAAGAGAGAATTCAATGTCTGGGGGAGGCATGCTTGTTCCCTTCACCAGTAACTTCTCTCAAAAAAATAATATAATCTTCAACTGCTTAACCCTCATCTGCAATGCTCAAAATATTGAAAATTGAAAAGAGTTCAACCATCTTATGACAATATTTGTTCTTTTGTAGTCAAACAGCTATTCTATCATCATGTGAATTAGGTTTTTTTCAACCAAAGCACATCCCACAAAATAAAAAATAAAAAAAAAGGCTTGGAACTGCTCCATATCATCAAATCCACTTTCTCATCAGACTCCTTAAAGCATATATGACCCTGGAGGCCTCTCACTTCTCCATCAAGTCATATACTGGAAACAGAAAAGAAAAATCATTCAATCCACCTTGTTCTTTGTCTTCGCTAAAGCAATCTTAACTTCTTGAGAAACCCAAATGGCTGAAACTCCTATGCTTACAAGCAAAACATTCAAGGCCACCATCTACCTCTTATTCTTGTCCATCATCTTCACTTGTGCCAATTCAGCAAGAGTCCTTGATGAGGTGGAAGCACAACCTCAAGTTGTTGGTGACATACCTCAGCCATTGAACCCCACAGCTACAATTGTCCCTCCTAACACTTTGCCAAGTGGCCAAGTCCCTGCTGTCACCCCAAGTGGCCCGGACGATGATAATGCTGATCCACCACTCCCTGAAGCTCCAGCCGCCGTGGCACCTCCTGCTGCTGATGAGGAACCACTAGCTACTCCTGCAGCACCTATTGTTGGTGTGGCACCAATAGCTAGTAGCACTGCCACATCAGTGACAACTGGGCCAGGAGCGGCAGTGGCCACAAGTGCCACAGCGGCAAAACCTGGTCTAAATGATCCTGTATTGTCCTTTTTTATGCATGACATCTTAGGTGGATCCCACCCATCAGCCAGGGTGGTAACTGGTATCATTGCCAACTCAGAAATCAGTGGCATCCCTTTCTCCAAGACCAACAATGATCTTTTCCCAATCCAAGGAGCAGCCCCACTCCTAAATGGTAACAACATAAACAATCTCAAAAACATTAACAACCTCATTAACTCGAACAACGTCCCTTTCCTAACAGGCCTAACTGGTGCCCAAACTAATGCTATTCTACAAAACACTGGTGACAACAACAATGTTCTCAATGGCAACAACCAACCTTTTGTCACAGCTGGACAGCTCCCACCTGGCTCTCTTCAAAGACTCATGTTTGGCTCCATAACTGTCATAGACGATGAATTAACTGAAGCCCATGAGTTGGGGTCAGCTGTACTAGGCAAAGCGCAAGGGTTTTACTTGGCTAGCTCTTTGGATGGTACTAGCCAAACCATTGCTTTGACTGTTCTATTGCATGGCAGTGAACATGGTCATGAACTTGAGGATACCATTAGTTTCTTTGGTGTTCATAGGACCGTGTCGCTGGAGTCACAGATTGCAGTGGTTGGTGGAACTGGGAAGTATGAGAATGCTAGAGGGTATGCCACGGTTGAGACTCTTCACCAGGAGGATCAGCACATAACAGATGGTGTGGATACAATCCTACATTTCAATGTTTACCTCACTGACTGATCATCTTGTGGCTAGCTGGTGTTTCATGGTTTCAACATGGTTTACCAATTTGATTACAGTGTGATGCAACAATTTTAAGTGTGGATTTTCATGTGTCTTTGAAGCATTTCTGTTTCTGTATATTAGGTTATTTTGTGAACTTGTGATAATTCAATCCAATCTCTGGCTTTCTTTAATTTCTTTGGGTTGCAATGGATATAGTGATTGATTATAAATTTTTATATTTGAACTGAAATCAATGTTTGAACCAAGAGTATAATTTTTGTTCTGTTTTCGAATTTTCCTTGAAAAATTAATCATGATAACTTATTTTCTTACTTTATTAAAACTGATTTTCTTTCCTAATAAATTGTGCAAAGAATTTGAATTCTTGACTATTGCATTTTCAATTTAGAGTTGATTATGTACAGGAAGATTACAAGTTACAAGAAACCAATTAACTAGCGGGGGTCATTTTTTTTTATACTTTGACTATTCGGTAGAGACTAACAGATCAATAATTTATTCATCAGTTTATTAAAGTTATTTGTTTTGAATTCGAAACTTAATTCAATTAATTTATACACATGCAGTCACCCTCAAAAGATAGAATCCAATATATCTAAGATTTGAGCTTCAATACTCACAATCCCTTTTCTTATTTTCGGACTGAAACCTACTTTATACCAAAAAAAAGTTGTTTTCCCTTTTTCATATTAAAGCTTGGAATGAATCAGATGAATCTGTTTCAATGCCCCAACTTCAATCATCATCCCTTTGTTCTTCTTTATACTTGATTAAAATTTTTCAGTAGCTTCATTTGCAGCCGTCCCTAACATCATTATTATTTTAAAAGTAAACCTCTTTGAAAGGGGCATTCCTAGAATTGAACTCGGGACCTGTACCTGCTGTTGAACAAACTGAAGTTTATTATTTTAAATGTAAACCTCTTTGAAAGGGGCATTCCGAGAATTGAACTCGGGACCTCTCGCACCCTAAGCGAGAATCATACCACAAGAAATTTGACAGTAACTGAAGAGATCTTACAAACTTTGTAAGTATGACAAGTTATATGTAAATATGACAAGTTATAGCTGCTCAAGGATAGCATTGAAGAAATGAGTTCGTTTTTTAAAGTTTAGACAAGATTAGCCAAACAAGTTGTAGATTTTTCTTTCTTTTTCAGATTCATAGCAATAAAACATTCCAAATAAATTACATCAAATTTCACTTCTTTTCTAGGCAGTACCTTAAAAATCCACGTATTTTCAATTCTCAGGTCATATCTAATAGGTAACATAAACAGTGAACTCTAGGACCGTCTCTAAGCCATCAGTCTCCTGCTGTTGATTAGTCGCTGGTATAGTCTTAACAATGGCAAAACCTTTTGCATTGACATATTTTCCAGTACCACCCATGATAGCCAAATGAGACTCCGATACACCGGTACGATGAACCCCAAAGAAGCTAAGGGTGTCAGCATAGTGGCTACTCTCGAACATGGCTGTAAATGCCATTGTTTGACTGGTTCCATCAATTGAGCTAGCCACATAGAACCCTTGTGCCTTGCCAAGGAAGCCAGAACCTAGCTCATGTCCTACTGTCAGTTCATCATCAATGACAGTCATTGTTCCAAACATGAGTTTTTGGAGAGTAGACCCAGAAGGAAGTTGGCCTCCAGCTGTGATTGGGAAGTTTAATGCCCCATTGATCAAGTTGTTGTTGCCATTGTTCTGCAACACAGCTTGAGTGTTGCCAGAAAGGCCAGTGAGAAATGGAATGTTGTTGTTGTTTATAAGACCTGTATTACCACTATTTTGGTTTATTCCATTGCTCACCGGGAGGTTTGCACCATTTGGTTTGGCAAATGGAAGTTGACCGTTGATTGCGGGGTTGCTAACAACACCAGTCACCGCTAGAGCAGTTGGGTTTGAACCTCCTAGAATGTCATGCATGTAGAAGGTTAGGGTGTGGTCAGGGTCAGGGTTGGCAACATTCACACCAGTGGCTGCAGCCACACTAGGACTAGGTTGTGTGCCTAATGGGGTGGGCAATTGTGGTACATTAGTGACAGGTGTCACAACTGCATTTGACGGGTTTGAGGGTTGCTCATCAAGCATTCTTGCTGAAGTGGAGAATGCAATTGTGAAGATTAGAAGTATAGAAATGAGTTTGTACGATTCCATCTGATGTTTCTGGCAAGGGAAAACACCTAAAAGTTCAGGAAGGTTTGCTTTAGTATTTTTCTTGATGGATTGGAGGATATGCAAGTGTATTTATATCTAAGTTGAGTTCTTGGCAGGAGCTACCTGAAGAAATGGAGTTGTTGAAGTCTTTCTATTTCTAATATTTAGTTCAGGATTGGTGTGTTTCAAGTTTTATAGAAAGTGGATGAGAAGGAATATTTGGAACAGTGGCCTATGGTTTAGCTCACCTAAGGAATCAGTTCATGGAACTTCTCCAATTGCACCAGAAAGGGTTTCAACTTCTAAAATAAGCACCCAAAAAATATTGATATATATGCCTGCAATCTGCTTCAACTTGCAGGACAGTATTCTAGATACCTTTTATGTGGTTTTCATATTCTTCAAACTGTCTTCCCATTAATACTTTCCTGAATCTTTGTAAGTTTAATCTGAAATCTATCAAAGTGCTCAGCAGAATATAATGTATTTACTATTTCCTTTAACTTCTGACACTAGTCAGAGTGATGCATAAAAATGAGTACAAATTGATGCCAAAAAGAGAAAGAAATCCTATATTTAAAGGAACTTAATCACTGGGCTGGGGACAGAAAAAGAAAAAATAGGAAAAAGAACATAGTATTAACATAAAATCTTCATTCTTCTTCATTCCTTTTTTTTTTTTTTTGGAACAAACATAATCTCCTTTCAGATACAGAGTAACAGCTATACAATAACAGGTATGGCAATGCTAATGGCATCTGCCATCATCTGCCATCACCCCAACGTATGTATCCACACATCTTGAGTTTTCACACCAATGCAAAGAATGAACCATGTAATGCATTTTTTAATTTCTATACATTAACATGACCAACCTAGTTTAAACCTCTCTATATCAATTTTTCCTATATTCATCTCTCTCTCTCTCTCTCTCTCTCTCTCTCTCAATGACATGCTTATGCAACGTATGAATGCCAAAATGCAAAAAGAAAAAATCTTTCTCTTGTGGTTTTGATGATGCATATAAATATCTGCCAAAACCATGAGGAAAAAAAAAAGTGGGGAAAACTATCTTTCAAAAACTCTCTAGGCTAACAATCTCCGCTGCCAGCTCATCAATCAATGAACTCTCTATTTCTCTACCAATTACCTCAATATCACATCCTAAGAATAACCACCCATCATCCTTTCCCAATACTTTCTCAGATGACTCCTTTTCTGCTTCCTTTTCCTGGCTAACCGACAACATGTATAGTTCTTCCTCAATCTCCTTCAAGTTCAGCCTGTAGCCAAGCCTTCTTGAAACTGGTTTTGCCCACATGGGCTCTCCTAAGCATGGTTGGAGAATTTCCATTAAACCTGAATTTATGCGGTCAAAAAGTAGCCTCCTTGCTGACCTCCTCCAAGATATCTGTTCACCATACTTCTTCTCCAATGTCTCAAAAACTGAAGGGCTTATTGGGATTTCAGGAGAATGCCATCCATCAAAGCCTATATCCTGGTTTCTACTATTAAAACCTGCCTCAGTCAAGACATCAACCGAATAGGAGAAATCCCTACTCTCTTCAACTCCAAATAACCTTGTTGAATCTCCATTTACTTCACAATCCTCTAAAGACTCTTCTCCTTTATCATCCTCATCATCACTTGACACAACCATTCCAGGTCCTTCTGAGTATCCTTCCAGTGACTCCGATTTTAGAAATTCAAGTTGCCTCCTCACATCTGTTAGAAATCAAGAACAAAAAAATTTAAATAGATAAAAGTGAGGCAAAAAATCAGGAGGTCAAGGAATCCTTCTGCCTTACTAACCATGTAAGCTAGCAGTGACACTCTCAAAGCATTTAGAGCTTGAAAAATTCTCTTCTTCGAATGGTGCTTCCAAAACTGAAACTGGACTGGGCTGATAAGCTGCCTCCAAGTTCACAAGAAAATCAGGGTCTGAGCCACACTCCTCAGATATTTTCATTGATATATCTTCCTGCAAGATTACAGTGAAAAAATTGAGGGAGGAAATTCAATATTTGGAGACAAAGTGTAGCTCAAAATTGCAGCAGAAATATTAGAATAACAAGCACATCCAAAGAAAGTTATAAAATGTTTGATGTAAGATGAGACAAGCTTGTAGGAGGCCAGATTGGACTCAATGGAACTTCTGAAAAAGAATAAATAATAAACAGAAGGGTGCTTGAATGTTTGATCAATCTTGACTATTGCTGTCAGCAAGAAAGGAAACTAATATAACATTAGATTGGCACCTAATAGGAATGGATATTCTTCAAACCTGATGTCTTAAGTCCCAGGTGCCATACTGAGAATTATTTTGAGTATCCATCATTTTTGTTTTGGACTTATCAGACCATGTCCTGCAACCTAAAACTATTTTAATGCGTTCAAGGTAACAGAAAACTGTTTCTGGACATAAATCAAACCTCTCCTGCCCCTCTTTTTTCTCTCCACAAGGTTTCTCAACAATTTAAGGAGGGATTCATTATAAATTTTAAATTAGTTCTTATCAAGGACAAAACATAGTATGCATGTAACATACACATTGACTGGAAGACACATCTACCCTTTTACTTAAAATACAATCAGGCTGTTAAGTTTTTGAGTAACACATAATACAAGTATTAATTCTATCAAACTAATCGGACACTTAAAAAGGAAAGGAACATCAAACCTGTTGACTCGAAGCATCAGGGATACAAAAAGAAGAATTATAATCTTTCTCAGACATAGTGCAGCTGGTTGATTCAAACTGCAGCTGGTTTTGATTTCCAGTAGACTTGCCAACACCCACAGTTTCTACAGCGACCACCATATCACAGGCAATGCTTGGAAATTCAGCAGTGCACATTGATGACTCAGGTACCACACAACCCTCTTCAGATGTATTTGTATCCTTGATGTCATTCCATTGATCAATTGGGATGATTTTATTTTCAGAATCAGACTGAATGATATCGTGCTTTAATGACTTAGAAACTATAGAAGAAGGATCCTGCTTCTCAAGGTTGTTCTTGAACATATTATGGATAACATATTTGTCATCATGCGAGTGATTCTTTTCTGACTCTAGGTATGGACTAGATTGAGACTTCTTGCAGTTGGATCCTGAGTTTCTTTGTTTCACACCATCTTTCCCACTGGAACCCTGCTTACAGGACTTAAATTTTGACAAATCAAGAGAAAACATTGGCCTCATAGTCATATACGAATCATCATGGAAAGCTTTGTTACTGGTCCTGGTTACAGGACTTCCAACAGACGTAAAATATGTTGGAGATCTGGACTTTATTAAGTCTCCAATGCCCCCATATTTCCTGCCATCTCTACTGCTAATGCCTAAAGGACTACGAAAGTTTGCACATTTATCATGGTCAGGCAAAGCAAGCATTTCACCAAGAGTTCTGCTTCTGCTCCTTCCCCCAATAGTGAGTCCATTCTCCCGAAACTCTTTAGTCATTCTCCATCTTTCTGAGATTTGCTTCTTTGCTTCCTGAGTCACATATGATCCATCTAGGAAGAAACATGAGGGTTTGTACCAGTTGTTCAAATCAGAGTAATTTGGGGAAGAAACAATCATCATCTCTGGCTCTTTTGCAAGACTGTGATGACCACTGAATCCTGACCTTGGTGGTTGCAAAGAAATGTGACTTATATTATGCCTTGTTTTCCTGATGATTTCCTTTTCAGTTTCAGAGGAAAGGGTTGATCTATGCCCTGTGGATTTCACACCACTGCAAATGTTCTTCCTCTCCTTAACTTGAGCATGTGAATTTCCTTTTCCGCAAGTAAGGAACCCTTTGTCCTTCCTATCGCCTGAATAAGAACCTTCACTAGAACTAGGGAAAGACAGACAGTTAGTAGCATTCTCTGCCTCTCCAGTCTTTGGTTTCAAAATAACAATTTTTCTGAAGGAAGGACATCTTTCATTGTTTGATTCCAGATGAAATCTAGGAACATATTCTGCATCAGCAAAAGTTCCACTTAAAGATGGAACTTGTTCCTGTGATGATCTTAAGGCTACTCTTCCCTTTTCCGCAAACAAATCACTACCCTTTTCTCTCTCTAATGATTCTATTTCTTCAAATGCATCCTTGAACTGTTTTTGCTCTTCAATGCTGAACCCAAATGAACGGTGTTCATCACATGACCGCTTCTCCAAAACACCTATAGAAGCAACTTTTCGTAGATAATTCTCTGAGAGCACTCTTTGCCGCTTCTGCTTCTTGACAGGTTGCTGAGATTGGAGTTCATCAAGACCCATTAGTCTCGCAATGACACTTGGTGTGGTAGGTTTGGATTCCATGTTTTTTGACATTTCTTCATCTACTTGAAGTAAATACTCCAATAATTCAATAGCATTCTACAAAATGCAAAAATGCATCTGCAGCCTGGTCCAAAGAAAAGAAAAACTGCCATTTATTTACTACTAAAACAAACTAATTAAACAACTACCAAGAATCCATAGCTCCTTAAGAAGAAGAAGAAGGATATAGCTTGTGATTTACTTACCATATATTTGTTTTTACTACTGCCACAGCAACAACTAAAGTCAAGACTCCAAATACTCAATTTGAGGACTTCCCTGCTACCTGGAAATGCCATATTAATATTCAATAAACAAACTAAACAAAGAAAAAAAAGGAACTTGGATAACAGATTTCCATATATGCATCAACTAAATTGGATGTTCAGCCTAAACCAATCACAAAAAGCATGTACTAAAAAGGAAAAATTAAAAAAAAAAAAGTACTAGGAATTTTCTTAGGCAACTTTGAATGGTAAAAAAGAAAGGAATTGTTAAGGAGAAATAAAGCTTAAAATTTTTAAAATTTAATGGGAAAAAAAATATTAAAGCAGTAAAGAATTTCACTTAAAAGAAGTCATATGAGCATCTGATAAAGCCAAAAATATAGTGTCCAGAGACTCATACTGCAAACAAAGTAGAGCTCAGAGTAATCAACATGCAAGAAACAAAATCATTAAAAACAACTTTTTTTGGCCAAGTAATAATTAGAACACAGCACGATACAAAGTCTAAAGTGCAATCCCATCATTAAAAAGAAAAAAAGGAAAAAAAAAAGAGAGAGAAGTTTGATACTAAATCAAATATTTAAACACCCCCTTTCCCCCAACAAAGTATCATAAAAATCAACCAATTAATACTACTATCAAATATCAAGAATCATAAACTCATTGAAACAAATAAAAAAAACAACTTTTTTGGTACATTAAAAAAGAAACAAAAGAATCCAACTTTGACAAAAGGAGAAGCAAACATCAAAAGCTTAACCAAATCATGAAAAGCCCAGAAAACAAAAACCAAGAAAGAGAAAAGAAAACCCATAAAAAGGGAAAAGAAAATGGGAAAAATGATCTGACCCTTTTTTCTAAGAGAAGTTCTATGAGGAAAATTGTTGCTGTTGACCTTGATTTTAGATGCCCAACAAAATAAAAAATTTTTATCTAAATTACTTCATTTCATACTATTTTTAAATTAATTACATAAGGGATCAAAATTTTTTTGTCTTGCTTATAATTCAAAAAAGCAAAAGACAAGCCGACATGTTGAACAACCTGGTTGGTCAAACTTTCTTTTTTTATTAAAAAAATAAAACCACGTATTACATGAAAAAAAATTTTAAAAAGTGGTCAGTTAATGAAAAAATAAATAAAATTCTGGGAAATGGGTTTTTCGAGATGGAATCGAAAATTGAAAGAAATGATGAATTTGCAGTCTCTGATTCGGAGAAAATGATTTGATGATTGGACGAACCACGGAGAAGAAAAGTGAGAAAAAAGAGACACGTGGCTTTTAGTGGGACATAGTTTTTCGTGTTGTTTTGTCGTTTCGAAATATGAACTGTCGTTTTCTTTCGTGTTTGGCGCCAAAAAAAAAGGTTCCTTTTTTAATTTAATTTGTTTTTTGTAATGAGATGGATTTGCTATTTTCACTCTAAATTGATAGAAATTATCTTTAATAGTCAGAAAATAGTAGTAATAAAAAGAATTTCAAAAATTGTGTCATTCGAGTATCGAGTGTCGAGTGTCGAGTGTCAGAGTGTATCATGTAATTCTAATTGTGTCATTGATGCTTTTGTTTTTGACAGATCAAACGAAGTCTCCTTTCAAAACTACCTACAAACCCCATGTTATTAACTCAAAAACACTTTGGACAAAGTTCATTTCTTGATGATGCATTCTAAGAGAGAAGATTTCATAGTAGATCTCAAACACTGCATACTTAGTTTAATGGTGATCTTTTATTCAATATGCATATGAAACATTCATTCTTGTAACTTCTTCTAACTAAAAAATTACACAGTCACTCTGCTTAAGATTGTTCCAACTCCCATGTTCTTCGTTTGCATATCCAAGAAAAAAAAAAGACTTGAAAATGCTAAGAGACAAGGAGAAGCAATCATCCAATAAAAAAAAGTTAATGGCATTTTAAAAAAAGAAAAAAAAATAGCACAATGAGATATTTTGATTCTGTTATAATGTTTTTTTTCATTTTAGAAGAAGTCATGAAATGAAAGTGAAATGAGAAAAGAACTGATTCTCCAAAGGTAAGATGACAATTAGAAAATTAGAAAACCAATGTCATTCAATGACCTTTATGTTTCCATTGAATTGTATCTTCTTTATCAACATCTTTCAACAATTAACCAAGATATTTCAGTAACTTACAAAAAATTAATTTGATTGATATTTTTATTAATTGTTTTTACACCAATTTTTTAATTTATTTTTTTATTTTGTTTTGGGATTAAAGTTAAATTTTTTAGTATAATATATGAGGCAATGTTGAACTTTAATAATATATTTCAATTTGATTGAGTTATGCCAGTGCATTTAATTTTAATTTTTTTTATTTGTAGATATAAAATAACAAAATTAAAATTAATTTGAGTGTGAGAATTAAAAACTTGAAAATTTTGAAATTTTGATTTTTTTTCACCAAGTGTGTGATGGAATAAAGGTGGGAACTTTATGGAGGCATAAAAGCCTTTAGAAAGTTAGAATATACTATTGTTTGGTCCCAATCCAATTTAAATGAAATGGCCTATTGATAATGACATTGTGATCATGTCCACAATGCCAAAATTTTAGAGTTATTATTGCCAATTAAAAACCAAGCGCAACTACTACTACTACCATTACAATCTTTCTCTTTATAGCTCCCCTCCCTTCCCTTCCAAAGGGAGTTCAGTAACTGCTATTATCTCTCAACTCTCAAACCAAAAAGGTTCCTTCTTTTTTGTCAAATCTTTCTCAAGAAAAAAATGGCTTTGGAGATCTGTGTCAAGGCTGCTGCTGGTGCTCTTGATGTTCTTGGAGACTGTATGTTCCCGTTCTCTTTCACATTGTCTTTGTAAAAAAATAATGTTTTTCTCTTTTTTGGGTGATTTTATTTCTGGGTTTTTAATTTGGATAGAAGGGTTTTTTTTTTTTTTTACCTCTTTTAAAAATGTTTTCCAGGTCCATTCTGCCAAAGGGTTCTTCTTACTTTGGAGGAAAAGAAGGTTACTTACAAGATGCACCTTGTCAATCTTAGTGATAGACCTCAATGGTATATATCATTTAATAAAAGATGTAAACTTTTATATAAAAATGTGAACTTTGAAGTTTTTTTTTCTGTGGTGATGGGTTGTTGAAAATTTGTGATTTTGATTGTAGAAGTGTGTGAACATTGTGGTTTTTTGTTTGTGGTAATGGGTTGTTTGGAGTTTTTAAGCAAATATTGTGAAAAATGTGTTGTTTTATTTGATTTGGATAGGTTCTTGGAGATAAGTCCAGAAGGAAAGGTACCAGTGGTGAAGTTTGATGACAAATGGGTACCTGATTCTGACGTGATTGTTGGAATTCTTGAAGAGAAGTACCCTGAGCCTTCTCTGAAAACACCACCTGAATTTGCCTCTGTGTATGCTGCCTCTCGCCTTCCCTTTGCTTTCATTTGATTTATCTCTCAGTTACTTTGTGTATTGTGTTTTCTTTAACAGTTTTATAAGCTTGGGATTTTACTGAGAGATCATATTAATACTATACTGTTTTCTTTTGATTTTATAATATTTGTTTATCACACTTCTTTCTACATTTGTTCTCTGAGTTAAGTCTGAAAACGTTTTGGTTGATTATCACCTGAGAACACTTCATTTTGGTTGTCTTCTGCCCTCTGAAATGTTGGGATTATTTTTGCCTTATGATTGATTCCATGTGAATTATCACCTTGAAAATGTAAAGATAGAGTTGATTCTCTCTGTCGTGTTTCACTTGTCTTGTATTGACCTTAGAGGAAAAGGTTTCAATCTTTGGTTTTAAAAGAAAAAAATGGAGTGGTTTTGTTGATAGGATTTATTTGTTTCTTAGAAAAGTTTACTCAGCTTTTTGTTCTTGAAATCACTTCGATTATTAATCTTTATTCACTGTGTGACTGCAGTGGATCAAAAATATTTGGAACTTTTATCACATTTTTGAAGAGCAAGGATGCAAATGATGGATCTGAGCAGGCTCTGCTTAATGAATTAAAGACATTGGATGAGCATCTTAAGGGACAGGTAAGTGATAATAAATTTGATGCGCCTTCGTGCGTAGATTCATGATTTTATTTCGTATCTTTTACCATATAAATTTATCCTAATTTATTGGAGTATCATCAGGGTCCATTCATTGCTGGGGAAAAGACCACTGCTGTTGATTTAGGTTTGGGACCAAAGCTCTACCATCTTGACGTTGCCCTTGGCCATTTTAAGAAGTGGACTGTTCCTGAAAGCTTGACTTATGTCCACAATTACATGAAGGTACTTTTTTTTTAAAAGAATTATTGATTTTAACAGTTTAATAAGAGGACCTTGTTTGTCATGTATGTTCCATCAAAGCTTTTCAAAAAACAACAAAAATTGTATGTTCCATCAAATTGGACAACCTTCTTATTAGGAAGCTTGTTATGCTGGTTGTATTGATTTTTGTTTTTCTTTTATCACATTAGTTATGATCCTATCTTAGTTATTATAGCGATACGTAGTTTTTTAGTGTTATAACATGCATAATTAGGAGTGGTGCAGTATGTTACAAGGTAGCCACACTAGAATGTGGCTGCCATGATCATACCTCAGTGACTATATACATCGCAAAAGAACATAATTCTGACTCGTATAGATTGATCTAATAGATTTTAAACTACTTTTGAATGCAAATTAGTGATTTTGAGGGTTTCCAACATCAAGCTTTTCTATCAAGAATCCACAATCCCACAATCCCACCTCCTTTTTAAAGGAAAAGAACTTTTGCTGTGTTCTTTCTAGAAGTAGGTATGATTTTGAGGCTCATATCATGTGAAAAGAGTAATGGAAGTTATGTTATGCTTGTAGTTATCATGATAAATCAGTGATGATAGCCAGGTGGTGTATTATATCCTTCACTATTTTCTTCAGTGGCCATCAAGAGTAGCATATTTTAGCAGGAGGTATAACCAATGAAAGCCCTTCATTTTGGCCTGGTGTCGTTTAGCCGGGTCCTTATTTAGCATCTGTCACCTTTAATGGCCTCCATAACTTTTCTTTTTTTTTAAAGAGGTGCTTGTTCTAGAAATACACTTGTCCATGACTGGCTTTCTGTCTCAGATTTTAACTTTAGTTTGGTTATCTAGATTAAATTAAATTCGATGCCCTTTTCCACTTATATGCAATCAAGAATATTTTTATGAGTTGGAAATATTTATCGTTGAATATGGCCATGTAATCATGCTGAATATATATTTCTATTTTTATTACATGTATGCAACCATTGCCAATTCTCACCTAAACAGGGCATGCAGGCATTAATTTACATTTTCATTAGCTTGAAGAATGCACCTTAGAGAATGAGAGATTGAACAAACTTCTGTTATTTTTATCGGGTTTTGACTCTCTCATCCATGTTTAAGAAACACGGTCCTCTCAAATTTTTGGCTTCACGTAATGGTTTTAATTGATGAACGCATAATGATTCGCCGTGATCTTTGTCTTCACTTTTTTCTTACATAATGAATATTTACATGTTTTCTCTGACTAAATTTCCGAACCAATCTCTCTCCTTTGTTGCTTGTTGTGTATCTTTAAATGTCTGTATGCTGGCCTGTGTTCATCTAATATTGACTCTGGATAGAAGAAAATTAAACTTTTTGTTAACTAATGGTCAAATATATTTCTTGTATCTTGCATTGCAGTCAATTTTCTCTCGCGAATCCTTTGTGAAAACGCAGGCTGCCAAGGAATACGTGATTGCTGGATGGGCGCCTAAGGTCAATGCATGAATTACTTCAAAAACAATAAGGTTTTCAAACTCTAGAGTATCAACTATGAAGTGGGTGAGACTTTATGTAAAACCAGATGAACACTGATTGCCTTAGTCATCAAATAAATGTTTTAATCTATCAGTAGTACAGTATCCATGCTGCTATAAATTAGTAAATTTTGGTCTGATGTTGAATGGTGGTTACTGATGATGGGAAGAGGGGATTCGAATTCTTCGACTTTGAGCAGGGATCATGCACCAGCCAATTGAGTTAAATGCTCAAGTGTCCTCTCTTTGAGCGGCATGGGAGGGGATCATTTCACTTGTAATTCTTTTTACTGCAATTTTATGATTATCGAATCATAATAAAGAATAATGTTGGGTTGGGATTCACCGCATGTAAGTGTAGGCTTCGTATCGGATTTTACATAATTTTAAATTATTTTTTATTAATCGTATGCATTCCGGAGGGGATTGCTTTTTGGGAGATTTTTTCTGAAAAAGATGATGGAATCATGGAAAGATAGGGTCAGTGGCCTACAAGGCAGATCTTAAAACTTAGCAAGAATCTCTTGCTTAGTCTGATTTGTTTTATTCGTCCACCTTTTTCTGAGTTCTAAGAAGGGATAGCAACTGGAGAAAAGCTGTGTTTGGCTTGGATTGAAAGTTATGTGGTCATATCTTAAACAAATAGAAAAATGGAAGGAAAATCTTCAAAATGAAATTGAGGGAAAATAAGTAAATATTAGTAAATTTGATGATTTGTATATTTATATGATATAAAATATTAATATTTATATATTTATATTTTTGTTTTGTGTAAAAAATTGTAAGTCATAATTTTTATCTATACAAAAACATAAATTTTTTTTTGTTAAATTTATATATAGTCATTATTAAAATTTTAAATTATTTTTCTTTTATCTTTTTTTTATATCGAATTCATATTATATCATCATATATTTTCATATCATGTTTTAAATTACCAAATTTAAATTTTAAATTAGTAACATAACAAAACAACAAACGAAAGGATACATATCATTATTTGGGAGCTGGGCCAAGGAGGTTTTATTTTTTTTTCCGTTTTTCTTACAGGCCTGCCATGGCCCCTGTTTTTAGCCTTAGACACTGAACTTTCCATGCATTGAATTTTCAGGAAAAAAAAATGAAGTGAATAACCTGATAAGCACCCAATGATTTCAGACCACTGGCTTCTCCAGGACCCTAAACATCACCTTCACATACTTTAATGGAGTATAAAATTCATCACTGTGACCTGACTGCTGAAGGCTAAGAACCAAGGAGTCCCCACTACTTTTTTTACTATAAGAAAGCCAGAACCAGCCATATATACTTAACACTACCAACACTATCAGAGAAAGCTAAGCCAAAAAAAAATTTATGCAAAGACAAAGAATGACAGATTTTCAGATGTTGCCACCTCTTTTATTTTATTTTTAAAACATAAGAACCATAACTATCATCCTCTATTTGCATAGAACAAAACATAGATACAATCCTCAGGATTCATATACATATATAAAATAAATATAATGATGATCTATCGAATCATCATTGAACATATAAGTTTAGTTAACTAACCCGACGACGCCAACATGAAATTACAAGAATACCTTTTTGTATTTTTCCTTGAATTTTTTGTGGGATGTTGACATGGCATATGATTATTGGTGATTCAAATTTAGGGTAGTCTAGATTTTATTTGGGAAGAGGGGACCAACGATAATACTCGAACCCTGATCTTCCGTATTAAACATGTGCAATAGGAGCAAAATACAACGGACAACATATAGTTTCAATTTTGGTCTTGAATGTTTCGCTGTTTTAAAGGGAGAAGGAGGTAGGGCTAAAGGACCAAGCAGAACACCGAGGAGAGACACATCGTTTTCGGTGGCAATATTATTTGTCGGGGTCTTTAGAGGAATCTGAGATCATCTTCTGGATCATTTGACTTGTCTCTTCCTCGGACATTCGGTCTTGTTTGCTTTGAGATTGTGCATAGGCTTCAAAGAATTCCTTGTTTTCCTTCTCCAGTTCATTCCAAACTGTACATGGATTAACGTATTTCTTGTTACATATGAACCATGATCATTATATGCTACAGATCTTGACGTAAAGACCAAGAGAAAATAAACGAAAACAAAAAACCAGCAAATTCATCAGGCTGAGCTCATTCATAATTCTGTTCAAGATGGTTGACGATTGATGAAGAAGTAAAATGATTGGAAGCTGTAATTCTGTTAAGGGATGTTGAAATTTTAGAGCAAGATTAAACCCTGAATAGTTTTAGTAGGGGTGCTGTCATATTTGGTTGATCAAAAAAGTGATTCAAGATCATGAAATATACTTTGATTTGACAAGATTTCACCTGGAGGCTTGACATGATCAAAGGTTGTCTCAGGTGATCATGGTATATATGAGGAAGCTGAAGTTAGAACAGAACCCTACCTTGGGTTGACAGGCTCAACTTATAGTCTAGCTTACTAGAACTATAAGACCAGAGGCTGAGTTGTTGTTGGGTCGATAGATCAAGAAATCAGAAGAAAAAAATGAAACCCCTGCCAGCTCAAGTAGAATTCTAAATGCATTGACAGGGTTTCTTTTGAAATCCAATTCACCAAACTATATCTTTGTGTATGGCTGCATCAGAATCTTACTAAAGATCATGAAAATAAGCAAAAGTCAAAACCTGACCAGGGTTTGTTTCAAATCATCCAACAGCTCTGTTGGTGCATGTTTTTTTGTGTGTGTGTGCATGCAAGAGATTGAAAAAGAAAGAGTTGGAAAAGTAAAACTAACCAGTAGAAGTGATGACAGGTTTGATGTTTGCATATTTGGAGAGTGCTTCGACGCATTCCTCTTTTGTCATGCTGAAGATCAAACACTTTTCTATAAGATGCTGCACCTGTTTAACAACATCAAAAATATGTTACCTACAAAAAGTAGACTTAAATAGTTATAGAATCTAGCTAATAGCGATCATATCAAGTTACTATATATAAGTATAAATTTTACCATATGTATATATGATTTAGAAGAATCTCCCATGATTCTTCTGATCCTTGATCCTGATTCCTGAAAAATTATAACTCAAAAAAGAAGAGAATGGGAAAGTGATTTGATGATTAAGGGAAGTGAGATCCTGGTGCAATGTGATGCAGCAAACTTGGGGGCGCACAAGTGAATAAAATAGAGCAACCAAAAGAGGGGGAGGGGGTGGAGGAGGTGGGGAAGGGGCCAGGAGTCCCACGTGGGAGATAGATGATAATTGGCTGAGAGGGGATTAGGGGAGATTTGTAAATGACCATTGCCTTGTCTTCTAGGATTTGCCATTAGGCATTCCCTCTCCACGTGACAAGTGGGTCATAACCCTCTAGAATTCCTCCAAACAGACAAACCCCCTACAGTCCCAGTTGGAACCCTTCAACAGTGCTTAAATGATCCTCTCCCTTAAGATGGATCAGCCCTTTTAAAGTATAAATGAACGCTTTCAAAGTCTGAAAAATAAAAAAATTTAAAAGAAAATTTTCTTATGAACATCTCCAAAAGCTTTTTATAATTTTTTTTATCGACAAAATTAATAAATTCATTAATAATTTTATATGTACTATAAGTGAATGTCTAAAATAAAATTTTGAATCCGTCACTGATCTCTTAGCAACATTGTACCCTTACACAACTCAAAACCCCTCTAAACTGAAGCATCAAACGAAAGCAATGTTTTTCATTTCTTTTTTTCCCTGGCCTTTCCAGTTAACATGTAACAAGGAGGGATACTTGACAATCTATATGATCAAACATCTATGATTTTTTTTTTCTCTGTTTTCAGAAGCATACAAAAGCTGCCCATACTTCTGTGATGTGGCTTTGCAGTTTATTACAATTTAGTTGATATAAAACATCAATTTGAACGCTTGGCTTCTTTCAGTTATTGGTCTAAAGAGCACAAAATTAATACATCCATTGCTTTCTCATAGTCACCTTTCCTTTCACCTTCATGCAATAACCAGGGCGGCCCCTACCAATTCCAGGATCGTATAATTACTTTCTGTTACTTTTAATTTATAGCTTTATTCCTTCGGTTGTGACATTCTGATGACAATTGATCCAATGTTACTTTGCCAGGGCCAATCCAAATTATAATTTATTGTTAAGTCGAGTGGAGTGGAGTTTAATAGTAAATATACAAATCGATTTTTATGGTAAAATTAACGTGGAGTTGAAAAAAAATGGAAAATTTTCTTTTCGGAGACGAAAAGGCATAAAAATTTTTATGTAATAATATTAAATAATAATATTTTAAATCAGGTACACATATATGTTATTAAGTTTTAAATTTTCTAGATTAAAAAAAAAAGTGTATAATTTGTATGATGGTAATGATGGAAAAATAAAAGTCAAAGGTTTGGAACCTCTCAATTCGGACCAAAAACAAAAATAGTGAATAGACTTTAGAGATGTAATATTAATCTCATACTCATATTTAATTTATGAAGTATTAGATTTATATTTAATTTATAAGGTATTAAATTTTAAATTAATTAAATTTTTTTTTTAAATAATTGTTAATGACAAATCCATACTTGAAGATGGTAAGAGTGTTTATAATTAAGTTAAAATCGAATTAATTGACTTAATTAAACTAAATATGTTAATTGATTAATCATCAAATTATTTTTAAAAAATTTTTAATTTTGATTAATTTGATTTCATAATCGGATTAACTGAAAAATAACAAAATCTTATATAAAAGTAAAAATATATGAAATGAATCATTTTATAAATTATTAAAGTTTATAATTTAATAATTTGATATTTTAATATTTTATTGGATGATTTTATTTAGTTTGTTTTAAAAGTAAGAAATTAGGAGTTTAAACTATAATTTAATTTATCAAAAAAATTAATTAAATCGATCAAAATTTTAAAAATTAAAAAATTTAATTCGATTAATAAAATTAAAATAAATCAATTAAGTCAATTTGATTTTGAATAATTTAATTTAAAATTAATCGAATCAAAGATGAGATATTCAAACGACTACATAAATTAAAAAATAAAAAAAATATTTTTAACCATCTCAAAATTTCTTTTAAATATTATTTTCGTTGATAAAATTAATAAAACCGTCATAAAAAAACCTGTGAAGAAGAAGAAAAGAGCATTAAGTTAAGTCGAAAAGAAATATTTAAGCTTTTGGTGTTGGTGTATCAGAAACTCTACTGTTTGTGGTATTATGGACAGCTTTGTCTTGTTTCTTGTGGTTCATCATCAAAGCTCATATTTCCGCAACACGAAAAAGAATACAAACCAACAATGCATTAAATACTGAAAGGAAATTATCAGACTTTTTTCCCCTTCCTCTGTGATATTTTCTTCGAAATAATTGCCACATATAAGTGTTACAGATCTAAAAAAAAATTTTGAATTTCACATCGAACATAATAAAAAGGTCATTGAATTATATAAGAATTCACATCATCTTTTTTTATGAGACATCTTTTATAAGATAAAATCGTAAGATCAGGAGGTTAGAGTGGACAATACTTCACAAAAGTATTAACCGTAACAAAAAAATTAATCTGAGACGTCAGAAAGGTGAATGTTCGAATCCCGAAATCACGTGAATTCAGAACTTAAATCTTTACCCATGACACATGTACTGAAAAAAATTCATATTTAAATTTTAATCAATAAAATTAAATTTTAACATTTTATCAATAAATCACGTTATTATTTAAAAAAAAAAAAAGCCTTAAAAATAACCCATCATTAAAATCTTAAAAAAAAAAAGAAAAATTATGATACAAATTATCATTCTCTCATTTGTCTCTGCTATTCCATACTTTTAAATTGAAATTTCAACTATTACAAGGTATCATTTAGAAAAATAAAATTTACTAAATTGGGATTGTTTAGTTTTTATTTATCTATTTTTTAATACAAATAAAGTGTCTTTATTTAGTTTGCTAAATTGATTTTTTTATTTAATTTAAATTTAATTTATAATATTATAATTATAAAAAAATTAAATCGAACTCCATCCGAATCTGATTGATCATCATGAATTCCTGTGACATCATTTTAGATTGTCCAATCAAAGCAAATTTGAAAGAGTGGTCCGACAAGTGGTTATCCAATAATTACAAAACGTAGGTTGACAGCAAGTATAGGTTTAGGGTAAGCTAAATGTGCATACGTAACCAATGATGCTGATATTTCAGCCTGACATTGTCAAACTCAACCTCCACAGCCATGATTTTGATATCATTTTAGATTTGTTCTTCATGACATGTCGATTCCCCATTGGTTCAGAATCGACAAGCCTGTTTAATTACCACTCCTATTGAATTTTCATGTACCAACCTTCTATCCATATAACTATTGATAAATGACAGCTTAGCATATCTGCACTTCAATGCTTTGTTTTTAAATGAGCTTAGAATTTTCATTTTATATAAAAAAAATTATAATTAAGTATTATCAAATTTATTATTATAAAATTAAATCAAAATTTTAAATCAATTGATTTTGAACCTACATCTATGAGCTTAAGCCTAACTTAACCATATAATCAGTAGCAATAATGCAAAAATCTTGACATTATTATTATTATTATAAATTTATATTTAATATATTATCAATATAAAAATTTTATATATTATTAATAAATAAATGATGTCATTTTATTAATAAAATTTAATTAGATGACATCATGAATAAAATTTTTAAAAAATATTAATTTTTATATATTTATTTTAAAAATTAATATTTACTTATTAATAATGTGATATCATTTGATTTATTAATAGTATATAAAATTTATATATTAATAATATATCAAACATAAACTTTATTATTATTATTAAAGATAAATGATGGATTTGGACAGATTTTTCCCTTTTCTTTTTCAACATAAATTTATATGTTATATATATATATATATATATATGTTTTTTCAACAATATTAATTCATCCAATTATCAATAAAAATATATAAAAAAAATTATTCAACAAATTATTTTTTTCAAGCAGTACTTGAAAAAAATACAATGACAAGTAACTATCATTATATATAGTACTAATTAAAGAATGAAATATTGGCCAGATATTTAAGATATGAAACATTATCATTACCCATACATTATCACAGTTAAATTGATTGAAATTATACTAAAGAATGACAAATTAGGTATTCAATGTTTCACTTAAAGTCTAATCTACAAATTCTTACATTTATATTTAATTAAACAATTGAATTCGTGTTCGCTTTAATTATGGATAATTAAATATGCATTATGAGTTCATCGGAACACAAAACTAAAAAGAAAAAAAAGTATTGGAAAGTGCGATTCAATAATAAGTGCATGTATCTTCGGCTCAAAAATTTGAGATTCGATTAGCGGTATCTTCCAAAGAGAAAAGGAGTTTGGACAGACGATAATTTGAGTGTACAGTTGTGAAGGACAGCAGCTGGTTTCTCTTCATCTGCTTGTGATCACAAGGTAAGAGATGGAAAACAAGGCTGGAAGAAATTACATATCATCCACATTTAGTGGTTGAGCTGAGCAGCTTTATCCAATGCCTGTAGCCGAACTGTTAATGGTTCAGTTTCAGAATTCAGATAACAGGCCAATGACTCTGCAATTGAAGTTAAAGATGTATCACTCATAAATTAATGAACATTGCCTTTTCGTACCAATAAAAGGGACCATGACAAATAGTTTTAAAAAAAAATGTAACATGAAAAAATGCTATTCATTTTGTACAAACATGAAGTTCACCACAAATTTCAAAGTACAAAATGCTATAGATATATACAAATCTCGTATTGATGCCTCATTTGCAAACAAAGTGTCAAATCAAGGAAGTCTTTTCCTATTTGTTCTTTTTTCTTTAGAGACAAAGGAAAATGGGAAGATGGGAAATTTTTTTTCATTGGGATCTACCTAGGATATGCTAAGGATTATATATATGTGATGGCAATTCCATAATACAAAAATTATTAATACTATGAATTAAAATCTTCCTTAAATCAGATAGCAACTTTTTCCTATTCACAAATTTCTGTCATTTAGTAAAGATGAGCTAACTCCAACAGTCCAAATTTGTAATCTAAGCCAGGAAAAAAAATGTGAAACCTTCTTGAAAATGGAATAAATTGATTGACTTTGCAATCTGATTTTTTTTTTCCTTTCAATCAAAATGGAAAAAGAATTTAGTACTTAAATTCCAATGTACAATTCAAAAAATGAATGGTAGAAATTGATATCATTAATTCACCTTTGATCTTTTATTATTAAAGAAAATAATACCCAATTTGAGATTTTCTTTGAAGTGTTTTAGTAAAAATTTACAATGTGAAAATCAAATATTAAATGATAAAGATATAGAAGGTTTTCTTTTTTATTAAAATGTTTTAGCTATGGGGATGTTAGAAAGTGAAAAAAAAAAATCTCTCAAAATAGAATTAGTTTTTTTTTTATGAATAAGCAGAACATCATTAGTATTCAGAGTTTCATTTACCTCTTCAATTTTAGGAAATCAATTTTGAACTTAATAAAATAAAATACTGAAATCCCATTCACTCAATTTTAGTTATATTTATTTCTCCCTTTTGACATATAAAATAATATCTCGAGCATCTTACTAATAAAAGTTAATATAAGAATTGGGGGCTGGGGCCAAAATTGGGAGGCCCGCTCGAGCGAGTTCTGTGCGAAGTAAGCGCAGCGTCAACACTCGGCCAGCCTATAACCCCTCCACAAATTCTTGCGCACCTTTTCGGTTGGGCGCGGCGAGCGGCTCCCACCGCTCGCTTTGTTTTCCTTACTCATTAGTTTAAGGCGAGTTTTACAAGTACACCTCAGCTTATATTTGTATGGGACAACAGGATCTCTCTTTATTTTACTCCTTCGATGTGGGATGGAAATAATACTAACTAACTTGGTAACCCTTCGTAAACTGTCACTTTTATGGCATCTCTTCGGTGCAAGAAATTTCTACTTTAAAAAGATAATAACAAGAAAAAGACTTGTTACAAATGCATCCATAACAAGTAATTGAACCATAATTATACAAGAAGCAGTTTTACACAGCTAACAAATATGGCAAGACTTGTAGTACAATGCTGTTTCCAAGCAAAATACAGACAAGAATTGAAGTCTTTAGTTCTAATCTTAATTTGATTACATTATCTTTTATAACAAACAAGAATACTTACAAAGGTAACAATCAACCCTTGTTTTTTTTTTTTTTTCCCAAGAGGTTACAAATAAACAATCGACCTTTACAGCCGGAACAATTGAATAAATATCTATATCGGAAATGCCTTGTTAAAATGGCATTATTGTCACATTTGCTTCAGGTACAAGCAAATTTCAAGAATTTCGAAACAGCAATGGCTCCAAGTGAGGGTCACCGTGTATCAAATCCGAAGGTGTATTATTACCTGACTCTAGCTCTGCAACCAATGAATCCTCTCCCCTTTGTTTCAGTAATCTCTGGAAGAAACTTGGTTTTTCTTCAGGTGATGGATCTGATGCCTTGGAAGCTTCCTTTATGCTTTGAACATGCTGGAGGCAAACTTGGACTGCATCATGCACCCTCACAAAGTACCACTCCTTACCAATCAACTCCACCACACCAGATTTTGACAAGGTCAATAGGACCTCCCGGTTTGGATTGGAGATGGCTATCTGCAAAAGGTTTGACTTTTTTAAACTTTGACTTAAAAATCATAGTTCGTTTAAAACATTCAGGCTTAGTTGTTACGAGTACTCAACCTGGATGTCCCGCGATTTATATTCATGGTGCAAGTCTTTCAGAGCTTGGACAGCACTAGAGTCTATGTATGTAACAGCTGCAGTAGAATCAAAGGAACATTTGGCTTATAACAAACTGCACTCCCAACAAAATCTTATTTTATGCAGAAGAAAGAAGCAAAAGTTCTGTAGCATCATTGGACACTATAGAAACCCTCCAATCACCCAAATATTAGAGATATTTAATACTGCAGAACCATAAGCAATCATCTTTCTGACATTTGGCACAAAATGACCATCTTATGACATGATGAGTAGTGTTCATGGAATGAATAAGACTTACGTGCCATCTCCAAAATCACAAAATAAATTCTTTCGACTTCTGGTCCACGTCTTGTCGATTTATCAACCACAACTTCATATTCTCGTAACCTGACAGAGGAATCAACATTATGTGAATTTAAATTCTCAAATTGGGAAATCAAACGTACATTTCAGTAAAAAATTTTGGCCAAGGATATTCACGGATGCAAGGTACCAAAGCCATTTTATTTATTGAGGAAAGCATGAATCTTCACCTGTCTTTGATGTAACTTATGTTTGCAAAATAGATAGGTGCATCAATACGAACAATCACAATTCCATTGTAAGTATATGCTTCCGGATACTGCTGAATGTTCCTGTAAACAGTGGTGCCAGGAAGACGCCCCAAGACAGCTGCAATACCAGTGGACAAATAGAAAAGGAATGCAGAATTGGAATTTTATGACAGATTATATAATTATGCAGAGTGGAAAGGTAAAGAGGAATTGATTGAAGTCGATCCTGATAGATAATCTAAGGCACTGACAATTAATTAAAGACATGGTGTAGGAGACATCTACCAATATGAGGATTTGCTGATTCGTGAATGACAAAGGCAAGTGAAACACCAACCTGCAATGTCAAACTAAACTAAAATTAAAATTATACGTCATATGAGACTAAGGTCATGAAGAAAATTTCGACTCTGAGCTTCATAATTGATAGATGAATTGTTTTTGAAAAAATAATAATAATAACAATTAGTACAGCTGAGAAGGTGTAGGGGGTAAAATTTTTAAGCAAAATTCCGCATATAACTTATAGATGCATACTCAGCATGTAAATATAAAAATGCCGAAAAACATAATGTTGATTGGCATAAAAAAATCAACACCTCTAATGCAGATATTTTTAAGTACATACCCCAACAAGGACACCAATCTCAATTCCAAGAAACAATGTTGTAGTAGTTGTAACAGTCCAAAGAAGAAAATCTTTCTTATCTACACCCCATAAGAAAATTGCCTCTTCATAATCCACCTGGAATCATTAAAATGCAGAAGAAACAAATTTCAACCAAAGATTTGATTAAACATATCAATTACTTTACAGGATACCAATTTCTTTCTAATCTGGTTGATTTGATATGCATTGCAAACGCTAAATTATATGGTTCAACATCCTTTGAATCATAAAATATGGCATAATCTAGTTTGAAAAATGTTCTAACACAGGCTTGTCTCTTGCTTACCAGGCTTATAACAGCAGACACTACTATAGCAGCCAGAGCACACTGCAAAGGCGATGAAGTGCACATACCAATAGTTAGCATTCTTAATAATAACTCTTCCAGATAGTAAAATGAAATCGAGCCATACACAAATGGCATGTGAATCTAACATTTGAGTTCATGGATCCCACAATAAACTACCAAATTCACATAGTAAGAAAAAAAAGGCATAATGGCAGATGCACTTAAATGGTAATAATTCCAATAAATAAATCAAACAAAAACTAGAGAACTTACCTGTGGTATGTACTCAAATAAAGGAGTCAAGAACAAAAGAGCACAACCCATTATGATTCCTGTTATAATTCCAGATAAGCCAGTTTTAGCCCCACTCTCATGATTCACAGCTGACCTGGAGAAGGAACCTACATGACATTTACAACAAAAAATTCAATAAACTTGAGTTTGCTACGAAAATTTCAGTAAACAAATTCCTAAGAATAGAATTGAACAGTAGCAACAGAAACAGTCAAACAATGAATCAAAACTTAATTTTTCAGTACATAGAGTCACAAAGAACTCTCACCTGTTGTGGGGTATGATGAAAAGAATGACCCAAAGATATTGGAAACACCAAGACCAAACAACTGTTGACAGAGAAGAAAAATTCATTACAGCCTTCCTTCCAAGAAAAATTGGCAAACACAAAACTTTATTGCTAACTTTCCTAAATGTAAACAAAATTTTCACTTAGCTGTGGAGACATCATATTCCTATTGAGAAACCTTTTAAACTTGTAGTTCTTACAAGCAGTAAAATATAGCAGTATATCCATCACACATACTGATAACAATACATCCACTAAGTACATTAGTTCCAATTAAAAGCAATTTTAACCAAGTGAATCTACAGCAAGGAACACATTCAAATTTGAATGTTGAAAGAAAGCACTTACACCAGGAAAGAGAGAGAGAGAGAGGAAGAGAGATGTTGAAACTGGTGGTTCACTTGTTCTAAAAGTAGAAATCTAAAAAAGCCATAGAACAAATGCCAGCTTATGTAGTATATACCTAGATGGTCTGATCCTGTGCAGGGTATACCTGGCATGTAGGGGAACATTAACATGCAAGAGTGATTTCATATAGAGAAGAAAATTGTGTCTTAACGGAGAAATGATTACTTATGAAAACAGCAAGTATAGAGGGAGTTATGCTATTTTTTCACTATATATACCTCTTGATTTGAATCCAGCTCATACCCATTTTTTGCAGCCAATGCTTTGGCAATCCCGACAGATTCCTAAGATTCAAAAATGACATATTACCGTCAGCAGTCACAACTCTAATTGGAAGCGTATATTCCTATTTGAAGAATGATTCATATAATTCCTTACCAAGATGGCTACACCCGTAATGAGAAATGCAGTTGGAATTAAGGACTTTACATACTGAAAACTTGTAGGGATGGAAAAGCTGGGAAGGCCCTGAGGTATATCCCCTACCTAAATCAACAGTACAACATTTTTTATCAGCTCTGCTTATGAGAATGCCTTCTTTCATATAAACATTAGCTCCAATTGTCATTTGACTAAAGTAATAAAGCTAAGATACAGTGTTTTGTGACTAATGTTGCCTGATTTAACCCAATAATTGGAAGCAAGTTAATTTAAATCATTCTCACCAAAGTAATAGATGATGGATGATATATCTTGATAAATGTTGTACCCAGAACAACTGCTGTCAGGGGACCCATTGCTCGCAAGAATCTCAGGTGCTTCCTTGATTTTCCCTATGCATTAAACATTGAATTTATTAGGGAAAAACAAATTTTAAGAGAAAGATAGAAGGCTATTAGAGAGAAAGAAAGAAAGAAAGAAAGAGAGAGAGAGAGTTTTGGTACCAAATGCTTCATGGTCTGAAGTATTGCAAGAATTATAGATCCCATTACAAAAGGGGGCCATGAGAACTACAAAACAAAATTACTACCTGAGGTTAAAGAAAGGAATGAATAAGTTGTAGCAGAAAGCACAACACACTTACCAAAGTTGAAGGAAAAAACACGGATGCTTCACCAATCACAATAAACAACACAATCAAATAAAGAGCAAAGGAAGATTAACAAACAGTTCAGCAAATATGCAGTGTCATGCCAAAACCCTGTTCCAGTTAAGATTCCTAGAGTTTATGATCTATCAAAGAAAAAAAACTTAACAATTGTAGCCATTCAAATTGAAAGAGAAAAATTGTTCATGCCAAACATGTGAAAAACACAGTTCACAATAGTTTAAAACTCTTTCCAATGCAAGATAAAATATGGAAGTAGCCAAATTTTATTAAATAGTGAGAATAAATGCAACTTTTTGAACTTTGGAATGAATTTGTCAATTATACATTTAAGAAGTAGATGATTTTAAATGCCAGTGATAAGGATAATGCCTTATTTAATGAATGTATCAATTTACAGACATATTACTGTATATTTAATACTACTTCGGCATGTAAAGACTACCTCATCAGCTCCAGATATTATGCTCTTGATTATCGGCACAATCTCACTGCTTCGATCAATTTCATACCCCAAAAAATACTTTGCTTGAGATAAAGCAATTACAATGGCTGAAGCTGTTGTGAAGCCAGAAATCACAGAATGACTAATGAAACGTATAAGCCATCCAAGCCTGGAAAAAGGAAGGAAAAGTGGATGAAAATTTTCCTCTTTATAGGCAAAGGAAATAGATGATTGTAATATAATACAGAAAGAGGTTCTAGATTATCTTTCTCCACTTCTCCTTTTTATTGTTTGATAAAAGCAGCACAACCTCATTGAAGTTACAAAAATAGTAAGTATGATTGTCAACAAATTGCATAAGCCACCATTCCCCAGTTCTGTCACCCTTCAAGAAAAAAGGATAAGCTACATGCCAATTAGTTGTTTAAAACGTGGTAATTCAGCTTGACCTTGTCCATATTAGAAGAAAGCTATAATACCCATTTGAAGTTTATTAAAGCTTGAAAACTGTATAAGAGTAAGATAGTCGCCAAGGCCATTTTATGTTCTCAAGATAGGTCAGCTACATTTCAAACTGCTGATTTTAGTGACCATTTTTTCTAAGAATGGCAAACTTTCAGGTTCAAATATTCAGCAAGTTGATAACTATTTGAGATGGCTGGGAAGAATACACATGCATACTTGCATGATACACAAATTATCCTTCACTGACACATGCAAAAACAAAAGCAAAAGCAAAATTTAGATTAAGAAAAGAACAATGATACCTCAATAGGCCCATTATGCATTCCAGGATTCCAACCATTAGTGCCAACAATATAGCAAGTTCTGTGTATAATGCATCTGATGAATCAGCAATTGCACTTAACACGTTGGAGACCAGGAGGGAAACCAATGCAACTGGACCAATTGCCAACTGCCGAGATGACCCAAATATGGCATAGATAAATATTGGCACAAATCCAGAGTCTGCCTTGCAAAAAAACACATAACATTAAAAGTGAACAAGATTAAAAAATAATAATAATAAACGGATTGCCAAGAAAAATGCTCAATTATGTGCAAAGTTGAGTTGTAAAGAGATTCAATTAAACTTCTATAGTATAAACAGAATCCAAAAGACTTTGATTTGATGGTAACTTACATAGCCCATATATTGGTTCAAGCCCTGCTAATTTTGCATATGACATTGCCTGGTGACATATACAATAAACAGTCAAAGCCCAACTCAGAAATTCACATACTAGATATGTTGCTTCGACTCTTCATTTTCATTACAATACCCCTGTTAAACAAATATCAAAAAGACGTAGGTACAGAGGTTCAACCCTCCAAACATAGGGAAAAATTTAGAGAAAATTGAGCATGCCCATGTCAGACACATACCTGTATCCAACATCCCCCCGAGTCCAAATAATATAGCTAGATAACCGAACAAACAGTTGAATAAATCTCAAAAAGAATAGTTGAGTCCAGCTATTCATAAACAAGCATAAAAGGCCATTTTTTGTACCACAAAAATAGATATCCTCTTAATTCCACTAACTTCAGAATCATTTACAAGTAAGAAATTGACAAAATCATGAATTTAGAATCCAATACAGCAAAAACTATGGGAACAGGCAAATCAAGCTAAAACAGAATCCAATCCTTTCACTTTGATTTCTATTGGCAACTTAAAGAAGAAGCCAATTAAGCTTTTAAAACAGTGATTAAAGTAAAACTTTTTCTCTTTTTACTTTAATGTAATTTGGCAATATCCGTGAATTCAGAAATCAAACAGTCCAATGACCCAATCAAATTACTCAACCAATCAGAAACTGTAAACATGTAAAATGTGTCCTGATTTAACCACGACGTCAACTTAAGAACCATATTTCCGCATGAGATAAGCATAGTTGAAATAAAAACTACCCAACAGTCCTTTTTCTTGCCCCAAGAAAAAGACGGAAACTGAACGGTAAACCCAGAATCTAACAAATCTGTTTGGTTAACAAGAAAATATAGAAAAATTAAAATGAAATTAAATTCAACAAAGAATTAAAGCTAGCTCACGTGCGCTTTAACTGAACTTAACAAAGATTTAAACTTCACAACTTTTTGGAAGAAAAAAACATAAATTCATTTGTATAACAATAATAATAATAATTCTTTCTTCTTATTCGATTGTTTTTCCATGTTTTCTCAGCAACCAAACAGAATATAAACCTCCGTTTAGTTTGAAAAATCAAAAATAATAATAATAATAATTTCTCTCGGAATCATAAATTCAAGTTTCACTTTCTAAAACTAAACCGATCATCGAAAAACCACTGAACCGGAAAAAAATTTAAAAGTTCGTAACCGGAAAGAGTTAGTTTTATTAGTAAGCTAAGTTGACGGTGCCAAAAGAACAGTATATTAACGGTTGCAATTCCGTTTTTCTTTTCTTTTCTCGCATTTTCCTTTTCATTTTCACAGTAACCAAACAAACAAAAGTAAAACGTTGTAAGACGATGTCTTTCTTTTGTAAGGAATCACCTGCGGAACGAGCATGATACCAACGGTGGTACCAGCCATGAGATCAACCTGGAAATACTCCCGCCATCTGTATGTACGAATCCAACGGCAACAAGGAAGGAACATTTCGATCCAATCCATAAACGTCATCCCTTTGATCTTTCCCCACCATCCTGAAAACAAAGAATTAGACCAAAACGAAGAAGAAGAAGAAGAAGAAACAAAACCACCCGAGCTTCCATACGACGTCGCGTCCGGGTGTTGGAGCGGTATGATTTTAACGGGTCGGGTAGGCATGGATGACGCTCCGGAAGAGGTAAAGGAAGGGTAAGTTAAATCGCCGGCACTCGGGGATGCGTAGGTTATCTCCATGCGCACCGCACCAACGGTGCTTCATAGAATTGAGAAACGGTCAGGGGCGGCTGCGTGGTCGAGTTTTATGGCGAAGAGTAAGTTGTAAAGTGCGGGCTAGTTAGACAAATTGTGATTTATGACCGAGAAAAGAAGCCGGGGCCCGGCTCTGACGTGGCGAAAACAATAATCAAATAAAATAATTACGCAAAAGAGAAAAAAAAATTACGTGATGGAATTGAACGAGTATTTAGATTTTCAAATTTTAACAATTTTAATGATCAAAATTTTATTTATCAATAAGTAGTTTGTTCAATTTTTTTTTTTTGAAAAAATTTTATATTGAAATAATGTCAATGATTATTTATTCAAATCATTTCAAACATTTAATCTATAATTATTTATTTTATATTATCAGATACGATATCTTTTATTTTAATTTAGGGATTAAATAATTTACTTATTTTAAAATTTTTTTTATTGCATAAAAAAAATTTTCTATTTATGATCATTTTAAATAAAACAAAATCAAATGATATATCTTTTATTGTATTCCAATAAAGGATGTATATTATTATTATTGAATTAAATATTAAGATGTGTATAAATATAATTTTTAAATATGATATTTTGTTTAAAATGCACTTATACATCCAACTATTATAAGATAAGTTTTTTTTTACTTCATAATTAAGTTTTTAATATTTTTTATGAAATATATATATATATAAAGAAAAGAATTTGAGGTTCAATTCATTGGACATATCATAGAGCCACAAATTCAATGTCAATTTTATTTAAAAAAATCAAAAGCAAAGGCTCACTGCTTTGTTTTATGAATATATATATATTTAAAAAATTAAAAATAGATAAATTTTTAAGTTTTTAAATTAAGATAATATGTGTCATATCTGACAGTTTAAGTTACAGATCGTGTATTCAAAATGACTTTAATAAGTGATCATCGACAGAACTCAAATCCAAAATTTTTTCATCGAAAAAGATGATCTTAATCAATTAAATCAACTATTTGTTAGCTAAACATTGCAAATGGCATCTTGCTTGCCTTGCATCTAATTTTATTCTGATTTTTTATTTATTTAAATTTTTATAAATTTTTTAAATATAATAATAACATCATTTATATTTTTTTATTAAAAAAAATATAAAGAAAAGAATTTAAGATTAAGTTCATTTATGAATCTTTTTAAATATAATATTATTATTTTAAATAATATCATCTTATCTTATATTTGATGTGTGTAAATATTTAAATATAATAATTTTATTATTGGTCAAAATTATTATTTTTTAAAATTTATAAAATTTAAATTATTGATATCATTTTTAAAATTATAATATGACTTGCAAGTTCAATTTCATATATTAAAAAAAAATTTTCACTTTGAAAATATTTAATCATCCTATGCTAAAAGAATAAAGAATGATTAATTTTATTTGTAATAGTATTTTTTTATATAAATTAAATATAATATAAAATAATTATTATCTTATGCATAAAACATGCAATACCATTATCAAATCTTATTTATAAAGAAAGAATATTTGAAAAGTGTATATATATAAAATAAAAAATTTTCATGGATTTTGTTTTTTATATATATTTAAAATTATCAATAATTAAATAATGATCATTTGAATTAAAAATAAAAAATTTAACAGAATGAATTAAGTATAAGCCTTTTATATTATTATCATTGAACCATGTTCATAAAAATTGATTAAAAATTTAGGGAAAATATTATTTAATTATTCAATTTTAAGGTTGTAGATAAAAGAAAATGATATGTCCTATATGTAAGAACATGTTAACTATAATATAAAGATAAATTAAATAAATTATTTTTTCCTTAAACACTTTTTTGCAATATTATATGTTTCATTAATTAAAAAAAAAACAATTAGATAAGTGTCAACTTTTCCTTCATGATTTCTAAGCTGGCAATCAAGCAAGAACATGGGAAAGGAAACTTCACAATTCACATTGTACTAAAATGCTATGTTTCAAAAATTTATTCTAATATTAGTAATTTGAAAATAAATTGGAAATAAGATTAGAATACAACGCAATAAAATGAATGTGGACATGATTTTGGACAAGTTCAAAGATAGGAAACAAAAGAAAAACATTTAGCTGCCCCACAAAATCCACATTCCAAGGATTCTTTTTTTTTTTTAATCTCTTTTTTAATTTGATGGGATTTGAGAAAAAAAAAAACAAATTCAATTGCATGATTGCATATCTATGTCATCATATTAACTGAAAGCAATTTTGAAAATTTTTTATTGAACCAAATGGGAGTAAATTTCACATGAGGTTATTGAACTTTGACCCATATTTCATTTAACTCAACTTTAATTTGTATACATTAAAATTACCAAAATTTATTTTTTTACACCAAAAGTAATTACTCTTATCAATTTTATCCAAGTTACTAAAAACAAGATGTCATTACCACATGAGATGCCACATAAGCTACTTATATTTTTTATTTGCTTCTCTCCCCCTCTCTAATTCAGCCGATCCCGTTTGCCTGCCGTTCAACCAAAAACCACCCTTATGCACAGTCCTTGAGTCATTAGATTAGATCTAATAATTTGTATTATTATATCATGTAAAATATTATATTTATATTATATTTTATATAAAAATTATATATTATAATTTATATCGATATGAATATATAAAATATAAATTTTTTATTTTATTAAATTTATTTATAATTTTTTAAAATTTTTAAACCGTGTTATTTTTATATTATTTATTTATATCATTTTCATATCATATTCCTATATCGTGTTTTAAATTATTATATTTACTACCCATCGTGACTCTAAAATCTCATTTCATCTATGGTCACCTATTATTATCAACCCAAAACCATCGTCAAACACAATTTAATTTTTTAAGATAAGATGTAGAGAGAGAAAAAAGGTAAAATGAATATTTTTTCTTTGAAATGTAATTAATTTATGTGGCATCTGATGTGGATGTTAATATGACAACCATGTAATGTTTTCGTTAAATTTTGGATGGAATTTGTGAATGTGACTTTTTTTATATAAAATTTGATGACTTCACTGATATAAATTAAATTTAGATAAGTTAAATGGGATATGGGTCAAAATTCGGTGACCTTTTTTGAAATTTCCTCAACCAAAAGGATTAAAGGAGATGAAAAGACTTAACTTAGGTTTGGATTTTATTACATATTACCGTAAGTTAAATTTAAATGTAAATTTTAATAAAATTTATTAAACATAAATTTTTTATTAATTTTTTTTAATTATAGTTATAATAACTTTTATTATTATATTCAATTTCACTCGAAACAATATCATTGTCATCCAAATAAAGTTTTAATGAAGTATCTTAAATGAAGTTGATAAAATTTTTTATTAAATTAATTAATTAAAAAATTTTATTCTATAAATTAAACTAACTTATTATTTGTACAATTTACAAATTATCTTTACTTATTTAAATATGTTTTGATATATAAATTAATATTATTTAATCATTTAGATTTTCAATATATATGTAAACAACAAATAATATAGTTAACATATAAAAACATAATAAAATTAAAAATTTTAATTAAAAAATTCACAACATAAAATAATATTTCAAGAAAAATAAAATATCCAAAAATTTTATATATAAATAATATTATTGAATGTACTAACAAGATGTTAAATTAAAAACTAAAAATTTAATTACTTCAAATTAATTTTTTTCAATTTGTGTAATTTTCATCTTGTGTGATTATTTTTATACATTTGCAAGTTAAAATAAGTTTATTTATTTTAAAACATATTTATTTTAAATAATTAAATAATATACATGATAGCTTACTTGCATATACATTTTTTGCATGAATTTTAGTACTATTCTGATATTCAATATTTATAAGATTTGCTAAATTAATTTTTATACATATTTTAAACTTTACATTTAATGCAAAATTATGTTTTTTGACAACACATATAGATATTTATAAACCTCTATATATTTATTACAAATCTTGATAAAGTTTTTTTGACAGATAATACTTTTAAAAATATATTATTTTTTATATATTTATTTTAAAAATTAATATTTACTCATTAATAAAGTAAAATTATTTATCTATAATGTATGTGCCCGCGCGTGTTCAGGTTTGTGACTGTATTCATAATCAAGATGAACAAAAGCACGCTCAATCTCAGGCAGTAGCTCGAGCTTCTCTTGCAAGGATTCTCCGATGTCATGAGCTTCTTGCAATGGCATGTTTGCTGGGAGTATGATGTCAACCTCCACGAAGTAGTAAGATCCGAAGGTGTAAGCTCGAACTGTATCGATGTGTCTAATGGCCTTGTGGTGGTTCCAACATAGATAGGTTAATTTCTGCAGATATTCTGGAGCTGCTGATCTTCCAACCAATGAGTTCACATTCTCGAATACTGTCATTGACCATGTGCGGATTGTGTACACCGCCAGCTGCAACATTCATGCATATCTCATTAGTCACAAGTGCATGCCGACTTTTTTAAGTTGATCGCGATTTGCAAGTTAGATGATTCCCAAAAATCTACAAAGCATCAATTCTTTTACGTTCATATAAGATGATAATGACAATCTTATCAGCCATGGTCATTTAAAACATTTAAACAGGTTTCTAATATTCAAAGAGCTACCCAGCTACAGTTCAAGATCTCTAAAGACCAGGTTCTCAACTTATCTTATAAATGATTGCCTATGGCTTGATCTGTACATACCGCCAGCTGGCTAGTAAGTACAATACAGACCAACACCGAAAAAAAAAACTGGGGAAGTGAGAGATGATTTTACTTACAATGATAGCTCCGACAGGGTCCATCCAGTCGTCAATGTAATTAGCAAGTAGCACAGCAACAAGGCCAATGATGTTTGTGATAACATCAAAGAAATGATCCTGGGCATAAGCTTTGACAATTTCATTGGTAAATAAGCGGCAATAAAACACCAGGAGAAGCTTTACCAGGGTCACTCCAATCATAATGCCAACAACCCATCTCTCTTGCTCCTTCGTCAGATTGAATTCATCCTCCTGGGTGAAACAAAGAAAGATATCATTACCATTGCAACTATTTAAGTAATCATACTCTGATATAGAAAGATCTAATGAATAGAGAAGAGAACTTTAATGCATAATCAAAGTTGACTCACATCTGATACAATTGTTCGCCCTGACTCCAAGATTATCTGCAGTCCAAGAGTTGCCATGACAGAGGCAAAAACAAGGATACCCTGCAGAAATTGACCAGTTTTAGATTTTGAGTATTTTTACATTTCAGTAGTTCATGGCTATGCACCAGCAGAAGCATGCATATCACACACATACAAATACAATGATGCATATATATCTGTATGCCTCTGTCTGGCATGCATAGATATTTCCAGTTTCCTATCTAATCACTAGCCTTTCAGTCTATGACATATCTGAGCATCCTCTTGGGTCAAGGCGCTTCATGCTCCATATCAATGTACAATGTTACTGCAGCATTATCAAAACATCCACCATATCAACATGTTTTATCACTCATCAAAGAAGAGACATCAACAACTAAGAGCTAGAATTGATTATAACATGAGACTCTTGTATGCCTTCAGAAAATAAACCGCACCCTAAGCTAAGGTACAAACCCTGCTTAAATAGGTTACAAGCCAACTACTATTCTCGTTCTCCAGTTTCTTGCCAGTATAATATAGGAGATAGTAATCTCTCAGATTACTGTTAAGTAATGGATTATCAAGAGTTTGCTTTCAGAATGTCAAACTCAGATCAAATGCTGCTTCAGAGCCGGTAGATGTTGCATTAACCTCCCATTGTAAGAGTCATCTAAGTTAGTAAACACTTGCTCATAAACAACTCGTCTGCATGGTGACTTAACATAGGTAACAAATCAATTAATTAATGTCTGTTATTAATAGTAGAAAAGAAAACAGACTCAAAGATTTTAGAACTATCCTTACAACATGAAGATTGACAATTTAGCTAACAATGTTTTCCAATATCATGGTATAAATGCAGAATTCATCCCTTGTCAAATAATTGCTATTAAAGAAAAGGTCAGTTACAAAATGGAAAAAACAAACAATAAAAGTACAGCAGTCACATATCCTTAGCTACAAAGTGTGACTTCATTGATCATGCACTAACATTGATATAGGAATTTGATTACGACAATATGAGACATCAAGAATACTGACCAGTGGCTGCATTCTTTTCTTTCCAATTGGGTACAGATACGGGTTTGGTGTTGACATGGAGAATGCAGCAAACCAGAGGATGAAGCCAGACAGAAGATCAAGAAGCGAGTCTAATGTGGATGCAATTATAGCCAATGAGCCACTTCTGATGGAAGCATAAACTTTTGCAGCAAAAAGAACCATGTTTGCAATATTGGAAATTATAATGGCTAATGTCTCACTTCTAGCCAACTTTTCCCGCTCTTCCTGCCAATCACAGCAACAAGGTTTAATCTAATACTTCTTCAAGTACACTAATCTTATTAACTAGAAAGAACAGAAGGCATAACAATGATTCAAACCTTGGACATTCCAGGAATAAAACCACGCTCAGCTAAGGCATCCATTTCATTAAAATCTTCAAGTATTTCTACCTGCTGCTGATAGTATTCAGCCACGTTATCTTCTGGTCCTGAAACCATCAAAGAAACCAATAAGATGCATTCTAGTAACTCATTTATGTTCATTTGTAAGAAGTCTGTCACTTCAAGAAAAATGTAGCATCTGTGGTACATTCACCAAAGAGCATTGCCAAATAGACCCTTAGACTACAAAATAAGCTACGCATAAAATCTTTGATCCCAACTAAATGATTTTGTCCACTCATTTGGTTTTCCAAGTACAGAAAAACTATTATGTACAAAAAGGTATAGAACGTGCTAGTTAAACACAACCTATGCAGAGTATAAGAAAATGGGAAAATGACCAAAGAATGCTTAATAACTTCAAAAGCAAAAGAAACCTGATATAAACCCCATATGCATGTTTAATCCTAAAGAGCTAAATATCTCTATGCTTTCCAAAGTAGAGCTAACGAAATCAAACTCCTAGACATTTCATAACTTCAATATATACACTTTAAAGTAAATCGACAAACGTGTCATTTATATGCACACATACATGCAGTTTAATAATGTATGTATGTATGTATGTGTGTGTGTGTGTATATATGTATATAAAGGGAGTAAGAGCACAACTGACAAACTTCACTTTCACTTGATCAATAAAACTAGCAATCTTTTACCAAACTTTCCTCGCAAAATTTCAAACTAAAGCAAACTTCTAACTGCAGAAAATGACAAAAACAACAAGAATTCACATAATTTTAACCTCAAACTAAAGCAAACCCAACTGTCAATTTTCATTTGATCAATAAAATTAGTAACCATTTCACCTTAATTTCCTTGCAAAACCTCAAACTTCAAAAGCACACTCCATGATAAAAACAACATAAAAAACAAGAATTCAAATACCTCCTCAAGCCAAGAAAAATACCCAGCAAGCTTTAATCACTCTTTTGCTTCATAAAACCAAGCTAGAGCTCAGATTTAAAGACCAAAAAACACAATGTTTCCATTCACAATGAACCATTCTTTTCTTAAATTTATTAAAGTTTTGATGCTCAAAAACACTGAAGAATAACTCAAACTCGTAATAACCATTCACGGAGAATAATAATAATAAAAAGATACCCATTTGAGCAAATTCATAACCAAGCATAACAAAGAATCAAATATTGCAAATTAAAGCTAAATAAATAAAATCCCATATACCCGAAAAAAGTAAAGAACCAAAAAAAGTTTTTAACTTCAATATAAAAAACAAAAAGGAAAAATAAAAATAAAATAAAAATGTGATTTTTAGCTAAACGCCAAGCAATCCACAGACAATAAATTAAAAAACAAAACTTTAACAAAGAAATAAACAAAAAATTTGTTCCCATTTAAGTAAATTCATTTCCATGCACAAAAAAGAATAGAATATTGCTAATTAAAACAAAATGAATAAAATCCCAGATATCCAACAAAAATGAAGAACATTATTAATAAATTAAAAATATTTTTTAGTTGAATAAGAAAAACAAGTAGTGAGAATTACCTAAAACCCCAAGGCAATCATGGCTACGAAGAGGCTTTTTGTCTTTGTGTTCAGGAGATAACTGGAAACCATCGAAGTTCAACCGCCATGACCGGTCACCATTGTTCTGATGAGGCAACAGTGACAGCTCTTCTTCGCTTTCACACGCCCCCGTATCTACCATTTTCCCAATCAACCCTTCCAAAGAAAAAAGAACAAAAAAAAAAAAAGAGAAGCTTGAGATTTGTTGAGTGTAATTTGGTTTTTCTTTTTTATTCAATTTAGCAGAGGGGCAGAGGTTGCAAATTTGATTGACAGACGAGGGTATTTTGGGAATGTGATAATCTTTTCACCGCTTCATGAGACCGGGAAAGTTGGAGGGTGAATGGAATTTATAAAAGTTTGGTTTACGGGTGGGACTTGAAGGACACGTGAACGGTTGAGATGAGATCAAAGCTAGATATCGTATTAGAGAAGTGAATCTAGGGTAAATGATCTGAGCCTCGAGATTCTTTGCCATCTTCCTGATGAAATTCGTTTGGTGGGCCCAATAGTTTTATCCACTGAAAATGATAGTACACAGTAAACGCACCTAAATTCTCAATGTTGTGATGAGTTGTCAATTCATTATTGGTCCAAGCGTCCACAGTAACCAATAAAAACGTACCACGTCATGTAATACCCTTTCGTTAATTAATGAATTAATCGTTAATTATTGTTTTCATTTTTATATAAAAACTGAAACTTAAAAAAAAAAAATTATAAGCGATAATATTTAAACTTTAAATAAGTTAAAATTTATTTTTATTTTTGTTTAAAATATTTATAGAAAAATTTAAAAATAAACCTAAAAGATTTTAAATATGGTGACCATGATATTTTGATATTAATCACTTTTTATGATTAACTTAATTTATAGAGATGAAAAAGTGTTAGCAAAGCAAAGAAAATGACTTTTGAAAATGGTTATCTAATTAGAGGATGAAATTTTGTTTAAAAATTTACCATGCCTACTTTGACTAGTGTGGATGGGTAGATGACAATTGATTATAACTAATTAAATTTATATTTTATTATTTTTATATGCATATATGGTAAGTAAAAAATACTTTAAAAAAACTTTAATGAAGAGATTTTTAAATGTATCTTTATAAAATTTATTTAATAAAATATTAATAATTAAAATTAAAAAAGTTTTGGCAATAAAATGAAAACAAAATTAACATCATATATCACACCATATATATATATATATATAGGGAGAGAGGTTTTCTTTTTCCTTATAAAATTTATATAATTATGTATATCAAATTTATTTTTCTAAGCACCATATCTTAAATAATCTAGGAATTAAAGTAAAGAAGAAAAGAATAAAACACACAATTGAAGCCAATGACATAATAAAATTCTCTTGCTAATTTGATTCCATAATTTCTTTTCAAGACAAGTACTTGATTCCTATATATTTCTTTTTTTTTTTTTTTGTTTCCTTTGATATTTTCTTGACACTATGCTTAGATTCTTTCACATCGCATTCAAAACTTTATATTATCATGGCATATGGCATTTATGAGTGGAAAAGCCTTGGTAATAACTTCACTTTCATCAAGTCAACTTTATATATCAAATTAGGGTTTTGTTAATGAGTGCATATTAAGGGCATTGGTTAAGATATTATTTATAAAAATAATTTAAATAAGTAATTTGATAATTTAATAATTTTCGATACATTGGATATAGATGTATGATATTACTTTTAAAAGTATTAATTTTAAATGATAACTTAAATATTCATTAGTAAAATTCTTTAAATAATTCAATTTGATGTGGTGGGTTAAATATTTATGGAAAGTGTTAAGGATATTTTTTGGTTTTATTTATTAGAGATTATCAACAGATAATCATAAGCATTTTTTATTTTTTGAACCGATTTTATATGTATAATACATCATTAATTTGGTCACATTATTAATTTATTCTGTTAATCTCTTACATTTTATTTATAAATAGGACCATCCAGATATTATATAATGATCTTACTTTCTCTTTATTTTACTTTTTTCTCACTTCTTATAGTCGATCTCTAACTTAAACGTCAAAGTACAAGTATAAAGAACATTTTGTATCTTTATTTTTAGTTGCTTTATTTTTCTCTTGTGATTTTAAGGTTTTATCTTTTAGCTCGAAACTTGACACAAATAAAAAAAAGACGAGGTTTTTGAAGGATTATAGCTCAAATTATTTGGTAATTATTAACACAAAAGACATAAGATTTCAAATCAAGAATTTATAAAAGAAAATATCTTGATATATCCACAATTATAGTTGGAGTTGAAACGTAATGCCAAAAAGATCAAATTCAATTTAAAGCTTGTAAATTTTGTAAGAAAAAAATAGATATGTGAAGATTTTGTATATCAATGTGGTATCAAATTCTTTAGTTTGTTGAGTGCATGCTTTCACAAGATTCAACATTGTTATCTTTAGTGATGGTGGCTAAGTGGTCTTACATTGTTCAATGTATTTGTTAGCCAAAGATTCTATCATCTTTTCACCAACAATGGAGAAAGAGAATCCTTTCCTTCAAATCACACTTTAGATTTAAAAAAGTTATGAGAATGGCTTCATATGAATCAATAAAATGTTGCAGCAACTAATTTGGCTCATTACTTCAAACAAAGAGAATAGTAAAAATATACATACATTATATTAAAACTATTCATATGCTGGATTAATTTAAAAATTATATTAAAATATTTAAAAGATAAATTTTAATATTTTAAATTTAAATTAAATAAAAAATTTATTTATTAAATAATATCTCAGATTAACCCTAATCTTCAAAAATTTTAAAATTTAATTCGAGTTCGACTCAACTCTAATTTTAATATTAAATATATTAAAATCAATATATATTTTTTAAAATTTATAAAAATCAACACAAAATAAACAATTAGGACGGAGGGAGTACTAAACTAGCGCTTCCTCTAATTCAATCTCTTGTATTTATCTCCTGTCTTCTATCTTGTAAACGAAATTTGATTTTAAACTTGTTTAGTTATAAATTGTATTGTAGATATAGCATACAATAGAGTGACAAATAAAGGTGAGTAAATGATCGGTTTGATCAATTCGGTTTGAAAAAATTAATAATCGACTTTTATTTAATAAATAATCGAACCGATCGAATATTATTAAATAATTGATCATAATCAAATCGATCAAAATCGGTTTGATTCGGTTAAATAATCGATTTTTTTATCATTTTTTTCTTATTATTAATAATTATTTAACCACAAATTCAATTTAATAAAATTTAAACTTTAGTATCATTCAAACTAAATTACTAAAAAATTTAATAATTTTAACAATATTTTACAAAAAATAAAAAATAAAAATATTTATCTCAATTTTTTTTATTTTTAATTATTAAAAAATCGATTAATTCGATTAGTACGATTATCAATTTTAAAAATAAAAAATCGATCGAATTAATCAATTTAATCGATTTAAAAAATCGATTATAACTAAAATCAAATAAATCAAATCGATTCAACTGAATTCGTTCGATTTCGATCGATTTAATCGATTCAAACTGATTTTTGCTCATCTAATAACAAATAGGCCTTTGATTCGCAAATTATTTGTCTTTGATCTTATAAAGCTCACTTAAGACAAGTCTGGACAAAATTTTTTAACTTTATAAGGAGGGCAAATATATTTTACATGCAAAAATAAATTAAATTTATAAATTTTAATTATTTTGATTTTTATAACTCATATTATGCTTCGAATGCATGAAAAGGAAATGTATTCCATAAAATTTCGTGAAATTATTCCCAACACCTTCAGGTAAGTTTATACATTTAAATGGAAATATTAAGAGTGCGTTAAAAATTGAAAAAATAAAAAATTAATTTGAAATTATATAATATTTAATTTTGATTTGAATTTTTTTATTTAATTTGAATTTAAATTAAATATTAAATGTATTAATTAAATTTAAATATAATTTTAGATCCAAATAAAAAATTAAATTAAATTATGTATTTTTATTAATTTTGATATATATTTAAAATTTTTAAAATAATTATTTTATATATAAATTTATTTAAATATATTAAAAATTTTATTAAAATAATATATATAAATTAATAAAAATTAAATTTAATTAAATAGATAAAATTTGATTTGAACGAAATAATTTTAAAGAATATCAATTTAAATCAAAATTTAAAAATTTACAACGTTATATTTTATTTAAAAAACTCAAATCGAATCAAAGAGATGATCCGAATCAATTATAATTCAACGAAAAAAAAAATCTTATGTCTGAAGATCAACAGTAAAAACAGAAAAACAAAACAGTGAAACACTGTGAAACTTTACTTTCACATCACTCCACAGTTACAAACACGTGTCCGGTCCCCTCTTTTTGTCCCGCACTTATGAATTATCATTCAACTCTTTGTCCTCTTTGTCAATCCCCAAAACCAACCCCTTCAAAGCTTCAACCTTCTCTCTAAAAAAAAAAAAAAAACCCAAAAATCCCCCCAAATTAAAATGCTACCATTTTCTCAAAAACCCCATTTAAAATTCAGTTGCTTTATATTATTACTTTGTGTTTCTCAGCTTGTAGTTTTAAATTCTGGGTTTGAGTTAGATGAGTCATTGACATATATTTGGCCTTTGCCATCTGAGTTTACTTTTGGCAATGAAACTTTGACTGTGGACCCAACTCTGTCTCTGTCTGTCTCAGGGAAAGGAGGGGAATTGAAGATTTTGAGGGAAGGATTTATAGATATAAGAAGATTATATTTAAACATGTTTCTGGGGTTTCAATTTTTGAGAAATTGAGAGGGATAAGATCTGTTTATGATATTAGTGAATTGAAAATCATTGTGAATTCAGATAGTGAAGAGGTAAGCTGGTAACTCTTTTTTTTTTTAATTCAATTAAAAAATATATATTTTTGTATTGGTGATTGGTTTGGTTTTATCATGGCAGCTTCAATTGGGTGTGGATGAGAGTTATACGTTGTTTGTGGCAAAGAATGATGGGCAATCTATTGTTGGGAAGGCAACAATTGAGGTAAAGTTTGAGAGTTTGAGTTTTATGAGGTATATATTGTATTGATGATCAGATGGAGTATGAGCTGGGAACTAGCTTTCGATGTCGGTGCTTACTGTTTAGTAGTGTCTTTGGTGGTGTGTTTAGTGTAATGAGTTTATTGGCATTCCTAGGTGTGAGTATGTGATTAAAATATACTTAGATTAATGATTGATTTGAATTAACCTTATGAAATTATTAAATAACAAATTCTGTGGGTATTCTTTAGATAACGGCTCATTGACAGTTATCCTTGCAATGCCAGGATTAAGTATGCTTAGTTTTGATTTTTCCAATTTTCAAGTATAAAATTAATCTTTATTGGACTAAATGTAATATGAGGATTATTTCCAAAGGTGAGTCAACTTGCATTAAGTAAATGTGCGATGATGGCTGATATTTACTTCTCTTTCTGTCTCTCTTTTGGCAGGCAAATACTGTTTATGGTGCATTAAGAGGGTTGGAGGTATGCAGTCAATTGTTTACTTTTATGCTGAACTAGTTACGTGGTACATTGTTAGTGTATGTAATCTTTGAGGGTGTTGTTCCCAAAGGTAAATATGGGACAAAAACATACCAATAAATTGGTGAAATACTCTCTTTCCTTCCTAACCCAGCTCAATTCGACCATACTTATATATTGGTGATGTATATTACTTCCTTTTGTTAGGAAAATTCTTGGAATTATTTTCTCTTTAAGGCACATTCTTGTGATACATTGGATTGAAGTCTTATATGTCTCTTCCCTCATTCTCTTTTATAATGTTCCAGACATTCAGCCAATTGTGTGCTTTCGATTATGGGACTAAATCAGTTAATGTATACAAAGCACCATGGTACATCAAAGACAAGCCAAGGTTTGCATATCGTGGGCTTTTGCTTGGTAAGCCTCACTTCTTTTTGCAACACAAAGAGCTACTAATTTTTGTTTTAAATAATAGCTTCTGGAATAGTACTTGATACCATTGTGTATGCAATCTGTTACAGATACATCAAGGCACTATTTTCCGATTGATGTCATTAAGCAGATAATTGAATCTATGTCTTATGCTAAACTTGTAAGAAATGCTTTGAGCTGTTATTTTTTTTATCTGTCCTGTATTTCACAGTTGGAATTCATTTGAGCCCTCACAAGATTATTGCACCATCTTTATTTCTCGAGTTTTTTACATGCCATTCTGATATTGAGTATTGCATTCAGTAGAATGTCTTTCATTGGCACATCATAGATGAACAGTCATTTCCTCTAGAAGTACCTTCATATCCAAATTTGTGGAATGGTGCTTATACAAAATGGGAGCGCTATACGGTTGAGGATGCAAGTGAAATTGTTAGGTATGATACATATAACTTATAAATCATGAGATACCTTCCCTGCTACAAAACTTCTAAAAGCTTCATCACGTGTGCTTCTTTTTTCCTTTTTGAATTTTTTTGGCATTGCATGCTTCTTGCTCAGACAGACCCTAATTGTTTACTTTCTGTTTCATATTTTCATGCACCAATTTGAAGCTTCGCCAAAATGAGAGGTGAGATTGATCTTTCAAGTTTATTGACAGTGTAAATAAAACGTTTTAGCCATTTTCTAGGGGTGTCTGGATTACTCTTTATCCAACCCCTCTTTTCCTTCTAATTTAAATTTATAGTTACGTTATGTGATTTGATGGTTAAAGAATAGTGCAATATCTTGAAACAATTAAAAAAGCATGTAAGAGTGCTGGTTTCCTGCTGTATATACTGGGATAACTTTTCTTATCATTTTTGCATGGTGTATGGCAGGCATCCATGTAATGGCGGAAGTAGATGTCCCCGGTCATGCAGAGTCATGGTAAGAATGCCAATTATTGTCTTAGGCTGATATGATATCATTCTATTGTGAGACTCTGAGTACATGAAACTTTTTTTTCTTTGAGTATTTCTTTTTGTAAAATCCATCATTTGGCGGTTGAAATCTTGTGGTTTTTTTCATAATCATGCAATGAGAAGGACATAGTTTCTTGGCTAAACATATCTAACTGGAAATTTGAACAGTACCAAATATGAAGGATGCTTTGTTTTTACTCTTTTTTTTTCTTCAAGAAAAGAAATGGAAGAATGTTATCTCAATTTGCATGTTGGCTTTATATTTCTTGTTCAGTTCACTTATTTCTTAATTGGCACCTCAATCCTGGATTTAAACTGACCTACTTGTTTGTGTAGGGGAGCCGGGTATCCTGATCTTTGGCCTTCTTCTTCCTGCAGAGAGCCACTTGATGTTTCAAAAAATTTTACTTTTGATTTGATTTCTGGCATTCTGTCAGGTTAAGCTCCATGAAAACCTTTCCCTCAGTGATATTAGTGATTTCTGCATTTGTGCTAGTTTTGTGGATCAACATTTATCTTTTCAACATGCTAATGATAAGAATCATTGTTGTTGCACTTGATATTATTGTGTAAATCTTAACATAGCAGGTTAGTTGATTATTGATTCGATCGGTTCACCTGTAGACATAGACTGCTGGATTTTCGGTTTCCCAAGTTATAGAAATTGTAGTCTTTGATTGAACTGTTAGGATCTTTACCAGGGTCAATAAGAAATATTACATACTTTTTGGAAAAAAAATCCTATGGTTAAAATTTTTGAGCATGTAATCTTCTTTTGGCTTCATTTTGGTATAAAGCAGATGGTAGAAGATCTGATTGTAAATTATATATCATGACTAGAGATGATTTTACAATGATTAATGTCACTGAATTCGGAAGTTAAATTTGGGACTGCTGATGAATCGGTTACTGTTTATGCATGAGAACTAAATGATATAGTATGAAAACAAAACATTTTTGGATTTGGTAGGGAAATAAAATTGTAGTCAACTGTCAACATGCCCAGTTAACCAAGTAAAATCATTTTTCTGCAAAACGATTTTAAAGAAGTTTGATAATATAAAGTTCAGTCTGGCTCCGATTGTAGGTCTTGCATCCTATGCATGAGAACGACTTCATGCTGAATCTTGATAATCTGAAAATTTTATCCCCAATATAACTATTTACATTGTTATTTTAGGTTAAGTTCCTTTTTTTACAAAAATAATTGCCAAACTAAGCTCCAAATGTTAGGAAAATTGAAGCAAACCCGTATTTTGATTTTGCTGGAAGTAGAATGATATGAGCTTCAGCCAAGGTTTTGTTATTCACGGCATGTACTACCCTATATACGGACATAAATTGTTCACATATGCTTTATCAAATAACAATCACTTTTCTCATTTGCCATATAGCCTCTCGGTTGTGTAAATTTATAATCAAATTTTGTCTTTTACAGATATCAGAAAAATTTTCCCATTTGAGCTCTTCCACTTGGGTGGTGATGAGGTTAATACAGGTTGGTGGAGTGGCTTTCTTGCTAAGAAACATCTCTGTCATCTCTTTGTTAAAACATGCAACTATGTGCTTCCCACTTTTTAGGTTGAAAGCAAAATTGTTTGTACTGCCTTTCCAAAGTTTATTAATACCAGCACTATTTGTTATTTGACAGATTGCTGGGTCTCGACTCCACATGTAAAGCAGTGGTACATGCCTCACTTTTTTTTGTCATTCGACTTTACTTTTTATATGATGATTCGTTATCTCTAAGTAACTGTTACATAAATCAAGCTTGATGAGGATAATAGGAATTTAGCCATTCAATGTTTTTATATGATGATTCGTTATCTCTAAGTAACTGTTACATAAATCAAGCTTGATGAGGATAATAGTAATTTAGCCATTCAATGTTGTTGTTATGCTGGGATTAAGCTGTAACATAATGCAAGCTGTGCCATCCTATAAAACATTAATCTGAAGAAAACAATTGCTCAAACCATTAATCTGATGGAAACAATTGCAGGCTCAACGATCGCAATATGACTGCTAAGGATGCATATCAATATTTTGTACTCAAAGCTCAAGAAATGGCAATCTCAAAAGAATGGACACCTGTCAATTGGTATGTCTTTATCCTTGCTATAAACTTGCTATTAATGTTCTAAGCATAACTTTGCTTTTAGATCTTTCCTGCCAAGTTGTTGGGTCTAGTCCCATTTCTTCTCACTATGTTCTCAATAAGATATCTTAAAAGTTGTGGGATAGATGTAGCAAAATCAATATAAAGTAATTTGCTTAAAAGTTAAAAATGCGCGTGGCCTTCAAAAGTAAATAGAAAAATCAGCTATCAAAAGATTATTTTGCATTACTGTTTCATTTTCTGTAAATATTTACTTATTTTTTCCTTAAAACGATATGAATATCTGAAAAATCTGAATATTCTTCATCTCAGGGAAGAGACCTTCAATGCTTTTGCATCAAATCTTAATCCACGGACTGTGGTTCATAACTGGTGGGTTTTAAACTTTTTAAGTTTTAACTGAAAAGGGTCTCATGCAAGAAGTTTTACTTTGTATTACAAGCATGAATGATTTTATCTGCTGCTGTAGGTTGGGCCCTGGGGTTTGTCCAAAGGCTGTTGCAAAAGGATTCAGATGCATTTTCAGCAATCAAGGTGTTTGGTATCTTGACCATCTAGATGTTCCTTGGGGTCAAGTCTACAATGCTGAGCCACTAGAAGGAATAAATAATGTGTCCGAGCAAAACCTTGTTCTTGGAGGAGAAGTTTGCATGTGGGGCGAGACAGCTGATACCTCAAATGTTCAGCAAACAATATGGCCTCGAGCTGCTGCAGCTGCAGGTATTTTATATGCTTTTTCCTTGACATCATTGTTGTCTTATTAACCTTAGATGCACAAGTCATGCTTTGTCTTTTTAAAGATATGGTCCTCTTTTTGGACACTAAATACCTGATCCTGACCCAAAACATCAACAAGAAAACAAGAAGCATTAGGCACATAGTTTCTTTTTAACTAGAAAAAAGGTGCCTTCCATAGGATCCAATAAATTAGTGATTACTTAGAATTGCTATAAGTCTGCCACTTTCCTCTGTTTGAAATACATGTTCTAGGATGGAAATGATATGACTTTTCAAGGCAGTCCCTTTTCTTATCGTTTGTCGAGGAAAGAAAATCATTTCAACCATTTGGAATGCCATAATGCCCTTCTTTTGTGTGTCCTAATCATTTTGTATTATGACTTTTTGATTCTCTATATGCTCTTTTTTGTTGTGGATGTGAATGCTTTTAGATGGGAAAAAATGATTAAGGAGCCCACATAAGAATTATCTTTGACAAGGGAAGAGATAAAAGGAAATACAAAGGTGAAAGAAAGAGTAACCAAATTGCTTGAGTTACTGTCTACAGCCCGATTCATCCCCTGTAATGATGCTAAATAGACTATTTTTTTTTCTATTTTTAGGTAAAATTGTGTTAGATGTGGTTAAGCATTTAGGGCGAGCAACTAAATTGCATATTACTACATATCCTGTTGGATTCAATCATTCAAGTCACTTACATTGACACAACTCGTTGTGACCTTTCGTATTAGGGATAAAAACTATTCATTTTTTGATAATGCCATTACTTTCACTTTTTCTTCCTATAGAACGCTTGTGGAGCAAAAGGGAGGCTGTATCTGCACGAAATATGACTTTAACTGCACTGCCTCGGTTCCATTACTTCAGATGCCTACTGAATAGGAGAGGGATTCAAGCTGCTCCAGCCTCAAATGAATATGCTCGACGCCCTCCAACTGGTCCTGGATCATGCTATGAGCAATAATTCTTCTGTTTGTTACCTATGAAGTTGCTATAATTTTTCTGAAGTTGCTTGTATCGGCTCTTGTATAATATATAAAGTACGTTCCAAAGCTTAAATTGTTACCTTTTCAGCATTTTAGAATAGTCCGTAGGTGTTCATTTCGTGTTGTGCTATCTTCGGTTTGATGTTGGGATTATCACTCTGAATTTAAGTTTATACCTGGTTATGCCAGAGCATTCCCGGTTTGTTTGACTAGTTATTATCTCCATGATATGGCAGGGTTGATGCTTCTGGCTACACTTTCAAGCATGAACTCCATATAGATAAAATCATCAGTTTCAAGCTTAAAATGACAAATGCATATAAATTTTTCTGCAATTTGCCATATTTCTTCAGCTTCATTTAATCTCCCATACGAAACTTGCTTTTCCCCAAGATTCCCTTCTAAACAGTTGGCGCAAGTTTTCAATGGCTGGTAGAAGAAATTTTACCAGTTTTTTGACTTGGGGAAAGTTTGTTCAACTTCAAATATCCTACAGAAGGAACTTTAGAAATCTGTTAGACTCAATGACAATATAGTTTGAAATGTCAGCTTAAAGTATATCTGATAATTTTAAATACGATATGATAATACGATACAAAAATAATATAAAAAAATAAAAGTGATATTTTTAAAAATTTTAGTAAAAAATTATATGAATTTAAAAAAAATAAAAAATATTTTATATTTGACGCGTTGATATAAATTTGATATGTCAATTTTTATATTTATACGTGTTTGACAATAAATAAATATGAGATATATATATGAATTGTCGGGTTTAACTTTGAGCCAATTTCACTTTGTCTAACTTGTTCAATAATTTAAAAAAACCCACTTTTATCTAACTTGTTCAATAATTTAGAAAAACCTGCCAAGGCAATGAAAATTGATGCAGACTTGGACTTCAAGTTTGTTGTTTCTTTGAATTCCATACACTGGCTTTTGACTGCACGATCAAAGAAATTAAGACCAAAAGAAGCATTTGCTTGAAAAATAATAAAGCAAAGAAAATCCTGATTCATTAGCATACTTGATGAACTGATTCACACGGCACTGCCTCTATTCTATTTTAGGGTAATGAGAGAAGACAAATTTTCCAAGTTTTTCTTTGCTTGACTGACTTCCTGGCTGGAATTCCGGGGTCATTCAATATGATAATTCAAAGGGAATTCTCAATGAAATAATTTCAACCTTTTAACCCCTTGAAAAAGCAAGAATAGAAGGCTTTAATTAATCATGACTAACTCTTTTTATTTTAATTAATACGAGAGAATGCATCTTTAAATTCATTTGAGATAAGAATAATCCGACATTCTATTGTCAGATCACTCGACATTGGCAAATGAATTATTTTTAATTTTGAACATTTATGCTTATTCTTTGTATATATATTCACACTTCCAAGTGTTTACTACCTATATGAGCAAATTTCAATGGCCAAAACTCCAAATGTCTAAACAGTGGGCTGCAGCAGGTAGGGCTCAACGTTTAATTCTCGATTGCATCAGCAACTTTGGCTTTCATTGTTTCTGCCAGAAAATGTGAAAATGATGTTTCACCAACTCTCCATAAGAGCATCAAAAAGAAGGCCTATAGGTCAAAACCAAATCATGCAAACAATATGGATGCTTGTCATCTCAACTTTGCACATTATAGCAAAAAACCAACAACTTGAATTCTCTCCTTTAAGACTGATCGAGTTCCTTCTTATCCAGTTCTTTAGAAGCTTTAAGCTTTATCTAATCATATTGTATTCAAATTCATATATAATAGTTTATACTTAGAAATAAATAACTTATAAAACTGAAATTAAGGTGATGATCTCTGAAAAAATTATCATAAAATAATATAATTACGAATATATTCAAGTTTTACATAATTACAACTTCCGCATTGATTCAGGGCATTTGATATTTATATGAAAAAATATATTTTTATATCAGTTTTGTCGTACACTATATTGATTGAAGAGTCTATTTTGGAATCTTAACAAACATCATTGTATTTGGGAAAAGAAAAATCATACCTTGTGACAGCATCTAGGGTTGATAATAATAATCAATAAGGTTTTGAAACAAAGTTTTTCCTGTCATAATCAAATGTGAATGTCTAGCTAGAAGAAAACATAGGATACCATATAATAAAACTGATTTTAAGGTTCAATTAATTACCCAATTCTCCAACTCACTTCTATACCTTGAACTAACTTGTAAAATAATCCAGAAAATCCTGGAAAAAAAAACAATGAAGAATAATACAAGAAGACTTTTGAACTTTGAATTCCACAGAGCATAAAGCTCTATCTATTCTTCCTAGATTCTAAAGCAAACCCAAGTTTAAAGGTTCTCCCTTTGAATGAATTTAGAAGTTAAGACAAAGAAAGAATAACCTTTGCTTGAAGAAAACAGCTTGAAACGTATATATGGAAATATCAATAAAGAATTAAAGATTTGTTATATTTTTCGGATTTCAAAAATTATATAATATATATATGTGTGTATGTCCGTATTGAACACGTACTCGTCTCGAATCGTAAACATTACATTTTCATTTTATGCCAAAACTGATCCATGGAAAATGTTTGTGTTTAGTTGCTGACAATATGCTATTTCCTAATTAAACAGGAAATTTGGGGTCCTACCACATGATGGACCATGTGAAAATTTCATTGTGGTGGGGAACTAATAAATCATTGGATTTAAATTCCCTCATTTTTTTTTTTTTTTAACCAAAAGTATCAAAAGCTAAACTTGAATATCTTCAACTTGCTTATCTAAATATAAAAAAATAAAAATAAAAATTCAAACTTTTTTTCTTGACTATAATGTTGTTTTTCCTTCCTTTTTTTTTTATTTTTATTAACGTGTTAGCTATTTGAGCTACATTTGTTCAAAGACAATTTATTTTCACTATAAAAAACTTGCAAAATACAATGTATTTTTGCCTTTAGCTTATTCTAAGAGGACCAAATAAAGTTTGAACTTTGAAATCAAGACATATCTAAAGACCAAATCTTAGAAATTTTTTATTTTTATATAAATGTCTTATTGAAGATTTTGAATCCAAGACATAAATTTTTATGATTCTATTATATTTTTAATAGCATGATGCATGACTCCAAAAATAAGATAAAGCATTAAAATTTTTCAAAATTTTATTTTAGCCATCACAAATTTTCATCAAAACCATTATTTTTGTGTTATTGTAAACCAATTACCCCTTTTTCTCATTTTCTTTGTTTAACTTTTTGAAATATTTCAAAATTATGTCTTTTTTTTTAATATTTAAAACTCTATATTAAAAAAATTTATAAAAATTCTAAACTTTTACTTTTTTATATTTTAAAACTATTTTTATATTTTTTACTTTTTGACATTAAAAATTATGAAAATTTAATTTTAAATTTTTTTTTAAACCTCGTGAAAATCTATACATAATAAACATTTTGAAACGAAAAGAATATTATAAAATATTTGAAAAGATATTCATTTACTCAAAATTTTGCGTGTCATATTTTTCTTTTTATTATACATTTGCCCATGCTATAATTTATTTAATTTAAATTTCATTATCATTAATTGCCTTAATCATTTAAAGTGTACGCCATAATTGTACAAAATTAAAAAAAAGAAAACAGAAATTAAATGGCTTGATTGAACTAAACCAAAATTTAATGGCTAAAATGCATATAATGAGAAAGTTTGAAAACTTTTGTCTTTGAGTTCAATAGTTGAGCTATACAATGAGATGATCTTCCAATTGAAAAAAAAAGTGGAAACATATTCTTTAAAATCATTTTCATAAATTTTGTTTTTCTTTAATTATATACTATCTATTCAATTTTCATTATTTTTTCATTCACTTTTATTAAAAAAAAAACTAAAATTAATGTAATATAAGATATGTAAATAACTTGTATAAATATGATTAGATTTTAATTTTTCTTAAATTAATTAAATATTTTTATTCAAGTGAAAAATTTATTTAATATTAAACTACAAAATTTAAAATTGTTTAATCTTGTTAAGTTTATTTTTTGACATTTAAATATTCATTTTAATGATATGTAACATGTAATTCAATGAAAAAATTGGGTTAAAATCCTTTATATTTCAAAAATATTTTTATTTTAAATTAATTTTAAATTTAAAAATTTGAAGTGTCTTTTAAGATTCTTTTAAATTAGTTGTTGAGTTCTTGAAGGAAAAATTCAGAAAATGTGTACATGTTGACAGATTCACATGTCTGAAAAAAAAAAACCTCACTTTCACTCTCCCTATCACGGTGAAATAAATAAAGAAAAGAGAAAAGAAAATTATTGAAAAAGACTGCTATCCCCCTTCTTCAACCATCCTCCCCTCTCGCCTTTTCATTTATTTTATTATTATTTTCCCTCTCTGTTTCCATGGCTTCTACCTCTTCCTTTCCCTTCCCTGTAAGTCCCAAATCTCCCTTTTTCTTTTCTCTTTGTCTTAAGGCCTTCTTACATATGTCTTTTTTTTTTTTTTAATTTTTGATTTTTTTCTAAAGTTGCCTATATAGATTTGCAGATTAGATTTTCCATTTTTTTCCATTTTAATTAATTTGCCGTACTTTGAACTCTGGGGTTCTTTCTTTTTCCTTTACTTTTATTTTTATAAGAGGGGATTTTGATTTACTCTTTTTTTTTTTTTGTATTTGCAGTGACCTTACTTGTTCCTCATGGTTGATCTGTCATGGGTTTTTGATTTCTCCACCTTTTGGGGTTAGTTCTGCTTCTACCATCTCCATTCGTCATTTCAAGTAAGGGTTTTTATTTCCACGTTGGAATTTTTTTCAATGGTTCTAGGTTTTGCCTTAAGATTTATATCGAGGTATTGAAAGTAGGTACGGTGAAAACGGTGAAACTGGTGAAAAGTTAGGGGTTTTATTAGGTTTTTTTGATTTGGGTTATATTTGTTTGATGAGTTTTTGAGGTATTTGTAATGGTGGCAGCATGGTGAATAAGTAGTAGGATTTTATTGGAGCTTTGTGTTTGTTTTGCAATTTTACTGAAGGTGATATTTTGAAGTGGGTATGGTGGGCAAAGAGGATGTTCCTGTTAATCCTAGGGCTCCATCATGCCTGCTTTCTGGGTCTCGGAAAATGTTTTGGCGTTCAGCTTCGTGGTCCTCTTCCCGAACGAGTGGTCAAATTCCTGAAATTGAGGACAAAGATCTAGGAGCAGATCCTAATGGTAATGATGGTAGTAGTAATGGACAAACTCGCAGGTTTCCTCCTCCTCCTTTAACCCCTCGGTCGCAACAGAATTGTAAGGCCAGGTCGTGTTTGCCACCTTTGCAGCCCTTGTCAATTGCACGGAGGAGTTTAGATGAGTGGCCAAAGGCTAGTTCCGATGATCTTGGTGAATGGCCACAGCCGCCGACCCCAAGTGGGAACAAGAGTGGTGAGAGGTTAAAGCTAGATTTATCATCAATTCAGCGTAATAATGATAAGAATGGTGGGCTTCTAAAGAGGGAAAAGATTGCTTTCTTTGATAAAGAATGCTCAAAAGTGGCAGAGCATATTTATCTTGGTGGAGATGCTGTTGCTAGGGACAGGGAAATACTAAAACAAAATGGGATCACTCATGTTTTAAATTGTGTGGGCTTTGTTTGTCCGGAATATTTCAAGGCTGATTTTGTGTACAGAACTTTGTGGTTGCAAGATAGTCCATCAGAGGATATTACTAGCATACTTTATGATGTTTTTGATTATTTTGAGGATGTTAGGGAACAGGGTGGAAGGGTTTTTGTTCATTGCTTCCAGGGGGTATCAAGGTCCACATCATTGGCGATAGCATATCTTATGTGGAGAGAGGGACAGAGTTTTGATGATGCCTTTCAGTACGTAAAGGCTGCAAGAGGAATAGCAGATCCAAATATGGGTTTTGCTTGCCAGTTGTTACAGTGCCAAAAGAGGGTCCATGCATTCCCATTGAGCCCCAGTTCCTTATTGAGGATGTATAGAATTGCACCTCACTCACCTTATGATCCCTTGCACCTAGTCCCTAAAATGCTGAATGATCCTTCTCCTTCTTTGCTGGATTCTAGAGGTGCATTTATTGTTCAAATACCCTCTGCAATATATATTTGGATTGGTAAAAACTGTGAATCTGTCATGGAAAGAGATGCAAGAGGCGCTGTTTGTCAGATTGCTCGGTATGAGAGAGTGCAGGGGCCTATAATAGTGATAAAGGAAGGAGAAGAACCAGCTTATTTTTGGGATCCTTTTTCAAACCTTTTACCTTTGGTGGATAAATCTGGAACTAAAGTTGATGTAGGGGAGTCAGCAGTTAAGATTTGCCCTGGTGAGAGGAAAGTGGAAGCATATAATGTTGATTTTGAGATTTTCCAGAAGGCTATACAGGGAGGTTTTGTCCCTCCATTAGCTTCATCAGAGAATGAACATGAAACCCACCTTCCTGCAAGAGAAAGCAGCTGGAGTATGCTCAGACGTAAGTTTGCCTCTGGTGTAATGAAGGAGTTTGTCTCAGCACCAAAGATATTGCTTTCCAGGGTTTATTCAGATTCAATGATGATAGTTCACGCATCATCACCGTCATCAACATCATCCTCTTCATCTTCATCTTCATCTTCCTCACCTCCTTATCTCTCTCCTGATTCCATATCTTCTGATTCCAGTACTTCTTCAAAATACTTTTCTGAATCCTCCCTGGATTCACCTTCAGCCGTTTCCTGTTCTCTTCCAATTTCTTCTACTTTCTCTAACTTTTCTAACTTATCTCTTGTTTCATCCCAAACTTCTTCTCGCCCCAAATTTAATAGCTCTGAAACTGTCAGTGTCAATCTCACTTCTCAACCTTGTTCTCAGCCTGCATCTTCACCCCTAAAAATGGTTTCACCCTCCCTCGCAGAACGCCGAGGCAGTTTGTCAAAGTCTCTCAAACTGCCAGTGAACGATAATGTTAGAGAAACAAATGATCTGTCATGCTGTATTGTCAAGCAAGATGTGGTCAGGATAAATGATGATACTAGAACATCATATGAGTCGGATATTGAAATTGTCTTTGATTCCAAGCTTGGTGTTAGAAATGGAGGGGATATTTTGATTCAAGGTTCCAGTTTGAAGATATCTCCAGGTAGAAGAGCTAATGCTGACTCACGTGATAAGGAATCTACTTTTGTTAATAGTAATTATGCACCCCAGAGAAATCATCCTCCCCAGGATGGTTTTGTGTCTGCTGTTCCAAATAGGATGGAGGAAAGTATTCCATCATGCCCTGGTGTAGTTCAACCTTTAGTATATCGCTGGCCCAGTATAGAGAAGATGACAAAATTTAATAGAAGCGATCTAGATTCAAAATCTGCTTTTGCAATTTTTTCTCCAGCTACAGTAGTAGGCAAAAATGAAGATAGGATTCTATATTTTTGGATAGGAAGGTCTTTTCATCATGACAAAAGCTTGATTCAGTTAGATAGCAGCAGAGTGATAGGGGATAGAGAAGATATTGACTGGAACCAAGTTGGTTGTGATGTTCTAACTCAAGGGGGTCTGCCGAAGAACACCCCTATTAAGGTATTGGTTAACGTTTGAAGTTCTGGACATTATATTATTTGCTCCTTGTTTTCATGTTTACTTGTTTACGTACGGGTTTATGTTATATATACTGTGACATGTTTGCTTCTGATTTAAGATTTTGAATCCTAGAAGATTGAAGCACCAATAACTGTATATCTAATTTATACTTATTTTGTGTTTTTGATAAAAGAGAACTAATTGGCAACTTTTGTTTGAGGGAAAAGATGGGAGTGATGTTTTATGATTATGAAGCTGTTAGGCCATTAAGTTGCACACCAGATGTATAGGGAATATCATACCTTAAATCATATCTTTTTGCAATTTTGTTTTATTTTGTTTTGTTTTGTTTGTTTGTTTTTTTTTTTTTAAATAGAAACTACATCTATGTTTAATTTGCTAATACCATAGAAAGAGGGGGAGCAGTTGCTTCATGGAACTGAATTTTAAAGAGGTCCTACTGTGGTTCTATTCGAGTACTTCCATTCTGCTGGTGACTGTAAGGGCTGGGCTTTCTATTCTATAGATTATCCTTTTAAGCAAGCATTAGACCCATGTCATAGATCATTTGTGATGGGAAATGATTTGCTATTCAAATTAAAGATTTAGTTATGCTTATACCAGAGTAAAATTAAGTTTGATATGTTCAGTTGATGTCTTTATCTGGATGCAGTTGTAGAGGTGGAATGCTTATTTACATCTATAAAAGAAATTTATAAGATTTTTTAATGAATTCTCTTTTGCAACATATTCTGTTTGATTTTGTTATGTTCTGTTGTTTTCAGCCCACAGAAGAGATGTAAATCAACTGTAGTTCCTTCTAACCTTCTAATATGTACCTTGATATCAATTATGAGCAGATTGTCAAAGAAGATGAAGAACCAACAGAATTTCTTGCATTGCTGAGGACATTGTAGCTCTACCGCAATTAAGGAGAGATTTGCAAACCAGTAGTTTATAGATCATCTACCTGTTTCTTCAAATGGCTTGTTTTTGCTCTGGACTTTTAGGCATCAAGCGTAATTCCCATTGCAAAACCAATGAGGTAGTTAACCTTTTCTCCGGTCATGTCTTCCTGGCAGTATGTAATTCCAGCAAGATTTTCTGCTGTACCTGGGCAATGTGGTTGGTTTAGCAGTTTTTATGCAGATTGGTATGGTTAACTTATACACCACCCTCCCGCCATCTAGTGCATGGAAGGATTTTAAGACACTCCGTATCATATTTCAACTAGGTTAAATTGTTTGCCAATATTCCACAATATTAATTTTCTTATGGTTTTGTAGGCCTCAATTGATCATTAGATGGATAGTTTCTTCTGATAGAATATCAAAATATTGCTTTTGAAAACCAATGTAGTTTAGTATCTTTTTATCGGCTGTGTTTTAGTTACAATTTGTTACCACAGAAAAAAATTGTTCTGTTTTTTTTTTTTTTTTTTCTTTCCTTCCCATCATTTTAGGTGTTTACTTGGGAGCTAAAATTTGCATATCCCTCTTATTGTTAACATGAAAGCATGAATAACACCCTTGTGCAACTATTTTAATTTGGCTGTGCTAGTCTTTTGCATGTTTTCTTTTCATAATTCTCTTTACTTTGGATGTCAAGGTGTCTGTGATGCTTGCACTTTGCAGGGAATTGGTTTTTGGAAAAGACGGCATGGCAATTCACCTGGTTGTACAGCACCATAGCACCATCAAAACCGATAATCATTTGTTTCGACGGACTTTTATTGTATATTCAGTGTTATTAGAATCAAATGCTGAAATCTAGTTCCAATCGAAATAGATACACTGTAATTTCCCTTCTGTGGACTAGGTACTTTTTATTTTTATAATTCTCATAACTGTTTAATTCAAAACTTTCTTTGAAGGCAGTTTCTAGCAGGATCTTTCCAAGGCAAATGCTGGATTCCAAAACTGGATATCATTTTATTCTTCTTATATTCATTTATAATATTTGTTAATGTTATCTAGAGCAACATTTCAGGGTTCTTTAATTAAATGAACTTAATAAAGTTCGGTAATGTCTGATTCATTTACATCTCTTTTTTATAATTTTCTTCATCTGGTGAGAAAAAAAAAAAAGAGAACAAGATTAGGTCCTTTGAGTTATTACCTTTGCAGTAACAGATTCGACTAACCTTTAGTGATTGGGTTGATTTGTAGTGGAAGATTATCCTAATAAAAGAAACTCCATTAATGCTGAATGGCAGTGCAAACTATAGATGGACTACTCGGAAGTCAGAGGTATCTTCAGTGAATGTTCATTTTGTCCATTCCAGTTCTCTTATTAAGTTAATATCTGCTGGAAAAACCTCTATGTAAGGCAGTAACTGGAACGAGGATCCACTGAAATTCCTACAGTTCATACAGACTGTTACTATCCATGGCATCCTTCACATCCCCAACAAGTGTGAGGTTGAAGCTTCAGGTTGATATAAAAGGCCAGAGGGTAAAGATTTTGTTGATTTTCTGTTGTCATTGCCGGTTAGTACTGTTAAAGGCTGCTTACAAAACAGGGCATGGTGGGTTGCCATGGAAACCTTTGCCAGAGCATTGAATATTTGCTTGATACTTACATGGAGCCTACAACAAACAAGGATACCCATGGAGCAAATGTTCCTCTCTTGTTGACAAACATTCTATCATCAAGAACTGGCAACTTTTATCGGTGCAGTAATACAAGTAATAGTTTATCCAAAAAGAAAAAAAAGAAAAAAATAACAAAAAAACATCCTTCAGTTTGTCAAATGTTAACCTATATTGCAAATGATCCAACATCAACCTGCCCTTGTCAACTGTTATGTCAAATGTTCCTGCAAAGAGGCCATCACCTGCGCTGCAACATCTGTAAACCCCCCCAAAAAAGGTTTTCAGCTTCATTTGCTGCAAATGTGGGTGGCTATATTAAAGGAGTTGTCACTTATATGATCATGGATGATCTGGTGTAAGCCCCCTCGTCAACTATTTCAAGTATAACTGCTATGCTTAACAAGTTGAATGATAAAGAGGTTGGGGCTTTGAAAGAGAGTGATTGATGTAGCCATGAATGATGTGAGCATCGTTATCCCATTTTGTGGCCTAAATCTTTAACCCTTCTTTCATTGCTTTGGTTTGGATTTTGTTTCAGGGTGTGGAATTACTGAAGGCATCGCTGCTGTCTAAGTCTGCTTACTGACGTATTCCTTACCCAAAAGGCATTGCAGCAATTGTTCCAAATGCTTGATGCTTCTGCTGCTGCTGCTGCTGCTGCTGCTTTAATTGGTGGTCTCTTTACAAATTACAAATGCTTGCTATTTTGATGTAGAGATATGGTTGTTAAATATGTTGATTTGTCAAGGTTTTTTTTTGTTAGTGTTATAATCTATTATATTATCAGATTAATATTGTTTTGAAATAATTGTGGTTTGGAATTGGACAACCCGAGCTTTTCCAATTGCAGTGCTAAACTTGGTATATGTAAAGAGCTTGCACAAGCCAACCAAAAGGCTTTCAACAACCCTTTTCATCATATACAGTTTCATCATGAAAATGATAGTTTCAAGAAGAAATACTTCAATGAGGGAAGGGAAGCAATGCTGTAGAGTTTAAGATACTGTATTTTGTAAAATAGTACCACAAAAGTGGAGAGTTGCAGGTTTTAAGAGTAGAAGATAGAGAAGAGCAGAATCCCATACTTCTAAGTAAACAGCAAGCGCAACCCAATTGACTTCAATAAATGAAGCGGAGATGAACGTGTCAGACTCACGGAGCCGTGCGGTGGGCACAGAGCGAACTATTCTTTCGCCTTTTACTAAAGAATACCGTGTGCTCGCCGCTAAAAGCGGCATACGCTAATTTTTGGAGGGCTGATTCAAGTTTGAGTTAGCCCATCAATTCTAAGTATAAATGTGTTTGTAAAATTAGTTTTACGGTTTAAATTTTAATGTTGCAAAGAGGGAAAAGATTGTCTTTAAAATTAAGATTCTAAAATATAATGGAATTTAATGGAAAATTTGATAAATTAAAAGAGTTGTTCAATCTTTATTTTTATCAAATGTTCATGTAAATTTAAAAATTAATAGGGGCAGAATACAAAGGTTGGACTCATATTATGAACGAAATAAAAAGTAGTCTTATTTGCAATGGATCTTTACTCCTTGATAACTGCCACAGAAAAATTCTCTGAAAAGTCCCATTTCTTCATTCAATAATGTTTAGTCATGACTTCCACCATTTTACCCAGTCAGTATCTCCTGCTGAAAAAAACTTTTTCCTATCATTGTAATTTCAATGTTTGCAGACTAAATTTTTTTTAATGGCTGTTAGTTTCCCACGTCAACTTCCATCCCACATCGATGAATATTGAAGCCACCGGTCAGGATTAGGGAAGGAATTTTGAGTTCTAGCCCAACCCCAGGTGGTTTTGTAAGCAGTCACTCGTAGCCTTCGCCGGAGTGCGTCCGGCCATTTTTATTTATTTATTTGTTTATTTATTTATCTTTCATCAGTGCCAACAAAACATATGGTTTACATCATTTTATTTTATTTTTTGTTTTTGGCCCAACGTTTACATTGTTTTTTTTATTATTGTTTTATACATTAATGAGTGTTTTTAAATTTTACAAAAATAAGATTAAAATATTTTTATGCGTAATTTTATTTATTATCTTTATCTATTAATTTCTTTCAATATGCTTTAATGAAATATGTATTAATTTTTTAACTTTGTTAAAAATTTAAGATTCGATCACAAATTGTAAGAACTCCGGATAAAAACTATGATATTTAATATTTTTAGAATTATTTTTTTCTACATTAATAATAGAGTATTTAGTTTCGGGTTTAAAATGTTGTTTATGTGCATTTAATTTTTTTTTATTTTTTTATTGATTTTTTAAATACATTCTAATGAGATGTGTCAATCTTAATATCATTTATTGTACTTAAAATTTTCATTTACGGGATATTTTTTTTATATTATTTAACTTTTTACTCAAATAAACAAAGAATTCAGTTTCTTACATGTTTTATGGTAAATTATTTTGAGAATTAAATAAATAAAATAAGTTTTAAATTTAATTGTTTTTAATGTCTAATAAGTGGTATGGTATGAAACATTGATGCATTATCTAGGAAATCATTTTTAGGAAATGTAAATACTATAATAAGAATTTGTTATAATTTTGAAAAAATTCCCATTGAAAATTGATAGTCTGAAGAACTTATGCAAATTAAATAATATGCTTTTATGGTTGATATTTGGAGCTCGACATAAATAAAGCAGGGTCAAAATTCTAGTACAAGTTAATTGACCATTCCTTAAGCAAATTACTTCAAAATGCAAGGTGTGTTTTAGTTATCTGTTCCAGGTTTTGATTTTTGAACATTGTAGTTTGAAGTTTAAAAAAATGATCGGCAGATAGTACAGATTTCCAAAGTGTACTAATTGGGGGCTGTGATCTCATGCCAGATTCATTTTGTTCAAACCTGTCATAAATACATGCAGTCACCAGCAAACAATGGCACCCTTTTGAAACCTTTAGTTTCTAACTTTGCTGCTCATGTACCTCTCTTGTTGCCTAACATCACAAACAACCAATTCGGCAAACTTCAATCTGTGGCAGGTGTACTTTTTTGCTAAATGAATAATTATTCCTTTGCCAATTAATACCAATTTTAGTTGTCCTTGCATTAATTTGCTAGATCATAAATTGTTATAACATTGAAACTCCGCAAAAATTGACAGGAACACCAGGATTTTATGAAGGCCTTATTCCAAGTGACGTTTTAAAATTTCGAGGATATGCTTCAATATTTAAGTGTGATATTGCTCTGTCTTGCTCTATTCTTCAAACATAGTCAATACACATCAAATTCAATGTCCACAACCTTAAAAGGTGTAGCTACGGTCACAAAGCCAACTGTTCAAATTATGTGACAAATGATTCGAAACCAATTTGCCCTCCCTGCAACCATGCTATGAGCCAAATCGCGACCGTTTTTAATTCACCAACAAAGCAGGATTCATCCTGTGATGAAGGAGGTTATGTCAGAGGGGTTATTGGCAACCACAAATGTGAGCTTGAAGCATCTGGTAGATACCAAAGGGCAGAGGGTTTTGTTTGCAGAAGCCGGCAAATATTTTGTTGATTTTCTCTTCTACATATTCTCTCCAACAGGGCATGGTGGGATGCCTTGGAAACCTTTACGACAGCCTAGAAAATTTGAGTGATACTTAACTTCGGACAACATCAACCAAGGACATCTTGTTGAAACCTGAAGTTTCAAGCTATAGAGCATATGTAACTCTCTTGTTGCCAAACATTCAATCATCAACTTCTGCCAGAATTTACCGGTGTTTGAGAACTTGTAATGCCCACTGTCGTTGTTATTATGAAAATGATCCAACATCTATTCGCCCTGCTCGCTCTAATGCCATGAACATCGCTGCAACATTTGTAAACCCCCTCCCCAAAAAAGATTTCAACTTCATCTGCTGCAAATGAGGATGATTATGGCTTTTTCAAAAACCCTTTTCATCATACATAGAAGACGGCGGTCTGTCAAGACAAGGGAAGGAATTTTCAACTTTTACTCAATCCCACATCGGCTTTCGAAGCCTACGACAAGTATATATGGACGCAAATGACTTTGCGAAAGCCGTACCACTAGATCCGGTTTAGCTTCCGCAAAACACTGACACATTGATGGTGCGTTTTCGGCTACTTTTAAGTAAGAATGTTGGCTCGGCTCGGACTTATCAATCACGTGGATGGCCTTACTTACATATGAAACAATAAAACTTCAAATATATTTATTTGGCTTTGTAGATTTTACTCATTGTTAAATTCAAAGATGTTTGCTGGAAAAGTGTTAGTAGTTAAAGCAATTAGGTATGATATTTTTATTGCAATTTTTGTAACTTATTTTATTATTTTATTAGTTTAGATAGCATGATAGATCTGTATATGGTAATCTATATACTGTTAGGTAAACAATTTGTGTAATAGTTAAATAAATTTTTATATTTTAATGCCTATAAATTAATGAAATGCAGCTCATGAGCAGTAGAGCCAATTTTATTGCAATTACCAAATTAGTTTCTTCTGTTTTTTCCTTTGTTCTTCCTTTGCTCTAGATCTTTCAATTGGAATCAGAACATTCTTTAAGGTCTTAGTGGACCTATGAACCCCTAAAATTGAGTGAAAAACCATCAAACACTTACCAACCAACTTTTGTCAACCTTAAATGACCTCAAGTAGTTGCTCCTTACCTCTACCTCTTATTTTTTCTAGTGAGAACTATCAGATATGGGCTGTCAAAATGAAGATCTATTTGAGTGCTTTTGATTTGTGAGAAGTGGTAAAAAATGAGAAAGAACCACCACAATTCCTGCAAATTTAACAGTAACTCAAATGAAAAATTATAGTGAAAAAAAAGTAAAGAGGTACAAGGCTAAAAGCTATATTGAGTCTTTAGTTTCTGATGACATATTCATCATAATCATGACTTGTGAAACTGTAAAACAAGTTTGGGATATGCTTAAAGAAGAATTTCAAGGTAGTGACAAGAGAAGACAAATGCAAGTATTGAATTTTAAAAGAGAGTTTGAAGTCTTAAAGATGAAAGAGTCTGAAAATTTAAAAGAGTACAATGACAGACTCATAAAGATAGTAAACAAGATTAGATTACTTGATGAGGAGCTGTCAGACAAAAAAAATTATGAAAAAGGTTCTTGTCAGCTTACCAGAGAAGTTTGAGTAAAAAATTTCATCTTTTGAAGACTTCAAAGACTTGACCAAGATAACTCCAGTAGAATTGTTCAATGCTTTACAAGTTCAAGAATAAAGAAAGGTTATCAAACAAGAGGATTTAACAGAATGTGCTTTTACAGCCAAGGAGAAATACAAGATGCAAACAGAAAGCAAAGGTAAAAAATAATGAGATAAAAAAAACAAAGGTTTTGGAAACAATGGAAAGAAAAAAAAATTTTCACCTTGCTCTCACTGCAAAAAGACCACTTACTTGGAGAAATATTACTGGTATAGACCTGACATATAATGTAGATATTGTAAGCAACTTGGTCACATGAATAAGGTATGCAAAAACAAAACGCAACAATAGCCAGATCAACAAGCTAGAGTTGCTGACAACCAACAATAGCTAGAAGAGTAAGTTTTTGTTACAACTTGCTATGGAACCAAAACCTCTTCAAGTGCATAGCTCATTGATAGTGGCTGCACACACCATATGGCATCTGATATCAACATGTTCAAAGAACTAGACAAGACCTATACCTCTAAAGTCAGAATAGGTAATGGTGATTTCATAGAAGTTAAAAGAAAATGAGTAGTGGCTGTTGAGACACTAATATGTACCAAACTCATTTTAGATGTGCTATTTGTGCCTAAAATAGATCAAAACCTGTTAAGTG